TCGAAAAAATGAGTTTTAAAACAGGCTAGAAAAGGTTAAAATAATGATTATGAACTTGATTAAGGCTATTGGTTTTGAAGCAAAAATTATGAATAATAATTACACCGGTCAACATGATTTTTGCCGTTAATTAAATTATATATTTTTGATATCTCTCATGTCTAAGTATCTACAAAAAAATAATAAAAAAAATCGCATACATCAAAATATCAAAATAAACGATTAACTTTAAATTTGAGAAATTTTGACAGTATATCGAAAATCAATATATGATTGGCTATAGTAACAAAAACAAGACGTGATATTTTTGAGAACACGACAAACCCTTATCTGTGCATATTTTCAGTTTGTTACCATTGGGTTATTGTCACTTAATACTACTATAACAGTTGACTCTGTTCGATTTCTAGTACTTTTCTAACGGGTTATTGCAATTAAGACGATTTTTTTAGTTTATTTTTATAAGTTCGTGTTTTAAAGTAGTGTATTATTCAATATGAGTCGAAAATACTTAAATTCACCCGACCTCTTTTGTTTTATTTGTGGAGAGTTTACTTCAACTTCTAATCGAGAACGACCTACACCGTTACTAACACTTACAACTAGTATTTTGGATTGAACATTCCTGATACTATTAATAAGTGTTGGGCACCTAGTTATTATTGCTTAAAATTGAAAAAAAATACATGGCTTTCCTTTGTTAAAGTGACCAACATTTTTTTCGGAAATACGAAGTTTTCAATCTATAAGGAGATAGTTTCTAAGTTACTTCAGGATTATAGAAGATTCATTTTCTTCATTCCCACCTAGGCATTTTCCAGAAAACTTGGGTGCGGTAAGCGACGAGCACGGAGAAAGATTCCTTTAGGACATCATGGCAATGGGAAAAAGATACCAAGTAAAATGGTCGCCGAGAATGCTTGTAGATTGTTGTTGGACATTAAAACGAGATTATCCGTCATATAGTTATAAGAGACTAGCAAAGAGAACAAAAACATCGTCAGAATAATATTTTTAAAACAATTCAAAATTAAAGTTTTAACATATTTTCCGAAGAAGCTGGGTGTTTCTTTTTTTATGACACACATATTTTAAGTGATCATATAAGAAAAAATTAGGTACTATTTTTGTTGATCAGTGTTATAACGACACACAAATTTAGGCCATTCACTCAACGTATACACCTCCATTTTCTGTAAAACTGGACATTTATTTATTCGTATACACTCTATTTGTTTAACATACATACACAACAAAATATAATATATAAATAATACGTAAAGATAGAAAAAGGAAGTAAATTTCCAAAGGAAAAAAGGAACATCTGTTGATAAACTAACGATGCATTATCTTCATTACCTTCATAATTTAACACTAAAAATGAATATTTATAGTTTTATTATTAACAAAAAAACTGTTATGACTACATCAGATTTGAAGATAGGTAAGATGAGCTTAGTTCCAAAATTTCAGACAAATCCATTACAGTTTTAGAGAAACCGGAGGTAAGGCACTATTGTTACGTTCAGTGACTGGATTTATTATTTTTAAGATTCTCATAAAGTCGATCCTTTAGCAATGTGATTGCATGACAAAATCACCGAAACTTAATTATGTCATCTATATATGATAATCTCCGTAGCAGAGTAGTTCACACGCCGGTGTCGCCACCGGCCGGGGTTCTATTCCCGGTCGGGTTAATGAAGAAAATGAACTTTTTTTATTGTGTCTGGTTTATCTGTTGCGGTAACTTTGTTGTCTGAGATAAGTACTCCATGAAAGAAGGGCTTCAGTTACTCAACTTTGAATCTAAACACACTTTACACATTAATATTAATATAATACAGAAATAGAAGTTTTCAGTGAAGTTTATTCAAAAGTCTAGCCTAACATAAGCCACGAATGACTGCAGTGAAGATTTGCAGCTGAAGCCTAGAATGGATCATTCATTACTTATGTATAATCAGAGACATTTTTTTTATTTTTCCGTCTCCTAACAATCAACTCTGGCTTTGTGGGATTATTCTCCTTGGACTTACTAACAAACAGCTTTGAGCAATGTTTTCTAATATTTATTATTAATTTTACATTAATTTTAAAACATCTAATGGGTTATATTTGTTGTTAAAAAGTAATATTTAGATCTGAGCAACCCAAAATGAAATATAATAAATATTGGCATTGAATACATCAATAACAGAAGGTACACTATCTCTACTGATCCATCGTGGCATCAGAATGTGTATTCATTTGGTAATTTTAGACTGTATATAAAGGCACTCTACTCGTTTCAAGTAGATTAACTTTCTTTAGTTATTTGGTAAGGAAAGACGGAGCAAATATAAAAAAATAGTCAGACCAAAAATAAATAGGCAGTAATTTTAAATTTTGTAATATTTTAGATTCGGGAATCGTATTAATTATCGTAATTCTATAATTAAGAGACCCTTTGAATTCTGAGGCACATTAAATATGTATACATAGATATGTATAAGAAGTTTTTATTTTACAATATTTATTTTGAAATGTCTTCCTTATAAAAATAGTCTATTAAACCACGGTGAAGCTTTAGTGAGGCATTTTTGGTCACCAATCCGATGACTAGTTATTTATGAGTAATACGAAATTAAAGTTTACTGAAATGCTTTTTTCATTACATTACTTAAATATTACACAGCAAAATACTAACTAACATTGCTATTTTAAATCATATAAAAAATTATGCTAAAGTTATTTGCGTATGATGTAGCTTCCCGCAGGTGAAAGGATTTTTAAAACCGATCCAGTAATCACGGAATATTTCTTCTTTATAATACTAGTACAGATAACTAGGTAAATTATTTTATTATCTTAAGAATAGTTTAAGAGTTAATATGAACGATAAATAATGATTATCAGTGTCAGCGATAACTTCCTAATTATAAACAACCAAGAACTTAAAAAAATACCTTTATTATTTCCCATTTACAATGCTATACTGAAATATGTTTAAAAAATTCACTTCGTCCCTGCACCCTGAGATGGCACTTGCAATTATGAAGCGGTACTAAAAGACCAAACGCATATTAATATGTTTATAAAAAGATTATAAATTTAAGAAATAAAAACTTTCGTCTTGAATACTGTAGAATTATTACATAGCAATTAAAAATCTTAACCGTCTAGCTAACTAGACATTCACGCACATCATTTCAAAACAAAATGTACTTTAAAGCCATATAATATGCGGTTATATATGAGTATATCTCATAAATCCCCACATACAGTAGCGAAATGTTAATTTTCATATTAAAATAGGTTTCAGCTTAGTTATCCTTTCTGTCATTTACGCGATGCATCAAATATTTTTTGTCCATCAAATTGCATCAGAGTGGTAAGTGTAAGTTTTACGTTAACGCATTCACTTGTGAGCGCGTTAAGAATTTGTATGGAGATTTGTAGTTCTTGGTAGTTACCGCTAGAGGCGCTGTACCGGATTCTATACTAAAATCTTAACGCGCTCGCGATCTACAGTGGATTTAAACATCAAAAAAACTTACACTTAGCGCTCAGGAGTGGTTTATTACATAAAAATTTTTACACTTTGCGTTCTAATTATTCAAAAATAAGTTGTTGAATATTTAAAATAACAATAGTTAATCAATAAGAAATGTGTATATACAAATAGATATGTCATATTTTTAATATTAAACATAATAAGTTACCTTTCTCGGAGAGATTCTTTTCCGAATTCAATTTTAAAAACTGCCAAGTTCGCTTCACAATAAAAATAATGCGCTAAAATACTGCGTCATATATAATCGAGATTTTTTGTCACAATATATCAAATACGGAATATTTGCGAACAATGAAATGCCATTGAAGATCAATATAGGTTTTGAACTTTCCCGGTTATTGAACACACCATTTACACTAGAATTAATATAATACATAAGCTACGAATAGCTCATTATTTAAGTATAATCATAACATTTTTTCCGCCTCCTAACAATCAACTCTGACTATGTGGGATTATTCTCCGTAGACTTACTAAAGAACGTAGCCAACTTATCTTCACTTGAGGCCTCTACACTATGAATCCTGGATATTTCTTACTTACCTATTAGTCTAAACCTACTGTGTCTGATTTTCTCTATCTTCGTTCCATGGCCCAATTTCTTGTTTTTTGGTCTATGATTATGTCTGTCATCCGCAATACATACAAAGTTTAATATTTAGACTATTTTTATAATATATTTACACTATTTTTATAAATCCACCATTCGGGTTCGAATCCCATCTCGGGGTACGTATTTTTAAGCATTTTTCATTCATTCATTGATGATATTTATAACTATAGCATTGTAAATGCAAAACTGATAATATATAATCATTCGGTATTCGATTCAGAGTTCGTTATTTTTATATCATATCCCATATCATGTGCGCATCAATTAGTTGATCGCTCTACTATACGTAGAATAGTAGAGTAACCTTCGCTGCAGGCAGATAGTCCAATCTCCTTGCACTACATTCACACAAACTGACGTATGAACTATAATGTTTATAATCACTTGAGTATATAAACTTAGGGTACGACTTTACTCATCACTCTAGTATCATCCTCCAACGAATAAGTTTGGAAGCTTGTGCTTTTAAAGGTATTCGTGTGATTCGATTTTTATTTCGAAATGTTTTTAGTGTTGTGTTGCCATAAAATAAGTTATACCAAACAGGAACGGTAGAAAGTAAGACGCTTTTAAATCCCTAAGATTTAAAAACATCTTGCAAAAAGGTGTTTGGTTTAGTATTTTTGAGTTATTAAATTAGAGATACGGTAATATGAAAATTTACCCTCGTGTTTTAATTGATTGTAACATAGTTTTTAAATTAGACAACACGTAAATTAATAATTTAGAACTGGATTGCCTAGTGAAATCAGGGGCGATAACTGTAAAATAATTTTCTGTTACGTCATTCTTAGGGTTCTGTTGTAAACAACTAACCCTTAGAGTTTCACCATGTCCATATGTCCATCTAGGTTAGCTCAAAAACTATCGGTTCTAGAAAGTTTACCAATTATACAGTCGTTGGTAAAAATTCAAACGTTACGGCAGAAGTACCCGTATAGGTATAACGAAGTTAAAAGGAAAATTATCACACTCAAGTTGACTTTACCAATTTACGATTAATAGTCGCCCAATTGTATTATTTCGAACAACACCATTGACAACATTAAACGTATTTTTTTAACATTTTTTTATGGATATTTGTACGTAAACCTTTATGCGGCCGATTCACACTTAGCTGTTTTTCTCTATCAGTTCCATTCAACTGCTTTTCATGAAAAATAGAGCTTTATCCGAGCTAAATAGGTTTTCACTACCTGTTGTTAGTTTTCCAAAATATTTGTAAAAAGATATTATTGTGAGTGTAAGTGACTTCTGGATTTACTACTTGAGATTTGTATTGTCCGCCGTTTGTTTTTCTTATATGGATTTTCTTTAGTTTTCGAAAATATATGTAACTTTAAAATATTAACTTTATAAGTCATTTGAACTTCTTTGTTGCAAAAAGTTATAAGTATATTAGTTTTAACTGGAATTAAAATACTTAAACCTCTACGTATGAATTTCATAAGTGTTCCTACAATTTTAGTTTTTACTTTCGTAAAATTAAATACCTAAACCTTTTGTTCGGAACATTTTGGAAATTATGTAGAGTTTTTATGTATGAATTTCATAACAATTCTTAGAAGCCTATTTTCGTTATAAAAATTATTTGATTGTATATTTTTTTATAAAAATTCGTTGAATCGTTCTTGTGTGAAGATAAGTATAAGCTTTCATTCACAATCTCGCATTATAATGAAAAAGATAAATATTAAAATAACTTCAAAACAGTAGCTCTCTCAGCCTGGTAGCGTCGAAAAAGTCTAGAATATTCCAAGCTCGCGCTTTAACATCGTCTTGGCTGAGTGAAGATGTTGTTTGTGAATCGGTGGTCCATATTCCCATATTTTCGACTTTTGGTGTTTTACACTCCTATTTACAATATCAGCAAATTACAGTCTTAATTAATTTCACAAGAAATAGGTGTCTAATAAATAGACAGTTAAAGCTCGTAATATCGTACGTTTAATTTCTCGGTTGAGATTCAAAAGCTCTGCAAATAGTTTTTTTTAACGACCCTCGACGTGATTTAATATATCCATAATGTACTTATAATCTATACAGATATACAATTATACTTATGAAAGATTAGAATTATACTGAAATATAAAAAATGCATCGGACGTTTTTTTAAATCTATTTCTAAAACAAGAATCAAAACCTGTACCATCTTGTTAAAAAATGAGGACTAAAATTAATGAATGCCTGCCCATTATTGGTTTAAATCTCGTACTTAGTTACACCTCGTTTAATAATAAGATGGGTAGTGTTTGTGGTATTATATAAATAACTAGCTATTTATAAAATTCAAGAAAGTACCAGTATCTTTATTTATTCGAAATCTATTTTACAGGCTCAATTTCGGGATACATAACTCATAAAATGAAGGTAAGTTACTAGAAGGTTTTTTTATTAATTCCGATTCCAACCATAAAGTTTTTAATGTCATTATATCGGAGCTCAGTTGTCGCCTACAGTATCATCACAGAATATACTCTGTGGTATTATGTTCCTTAGAAGTCGCAGTGTATGGTCTATGGTGTGGTACCTTTATGTGTATTTCGCATTTTATCTGCCATAGCAACAATATCTCAAGCTCAATAATATGAAAAAAAACCTTTGATCTTATAATTCGGATTTGTTTCCTTATAAATATTTCCTTAAATCATTTTTCGGTATAATTATGAATATATCGACGCTGGAAAGTAAACACGTATTAACCTGCAAAACCAAAATTGTTCTTCAGAGCAGAAAAACTTTTATTTTTTTCGATATTTAATCCCTATAAACCCCCGTGGTAATAAATAAAGTGTTCCTTAGTCAATTTATACGAAAATAAGTTTTTTTTTATATAAAGAATTTCCACTCTAAATATCCTAAAATCGCACTTTGTAACTATGAGTTAAAATTCATATTATTATATAGACACGTGACAGAGACTAAGCAAATCTACCACCTTTTCGAAGTAGCTAAAATGTAACTCTCTTAATATCTTCTTGTTAGTTTAAAATTTGTTTACCTACTTATATTAGATCAATGAATTCACAATGTTAAATTTAAAATATTTTTGGCTTTTTGATTTGATTGCTTATTTGATGACAAAATGCTTGAATAATTCGTCAGTCCTGTTGTATCCCGGGTAGCTCAATAGTTAGAGCAATCGTCCGGATTGCAAAAGATGGGTTCGAGTCTAATATTGAGGTATATAAGCTGGTGGATTTATAAGCATTTTTCATTTAATATATTTACTGTCTGTTATTAATATGAATTTTCAGAAATTCTATCAACCTTTTTTTTTTGACGCTGAGAAATGCGTTACGCATACCCGCTACACCCAGCGCAGGCTTCACGGGTGTTGTTTTTTTTTTGAAGACAACTGATTTATTTTTTTAAATCTACCTACAACAACGGGTTATGTGGGACTCCTCCTGTAACCCCCGAAGAGGTTAGACAAGAAACAGGAGTTTACCCACTAAAACTCAGCGATGTCCCTCGCATGGAAGGCGATGTACGGGATCGGCCCGGAGGCCATACACCGCGCGGTTCGCCCCCATTTCGGTCCGCCCTGAAAAATTCTATCAACCTGACTTATAAACTTTCAACAGAGCAATCAGGAATAGCCTGTTTATTGTTTTAATTCTACATGAATCTGTCACGTTAACAGATCATTCGAGGCATCATTTTGACCGACACAGATTTTTTTTTATACTTACAGACAGAGAAACGGTAAACCCGCAGTGCTTATAGAGACATCAACATCACATAGGCTCATTTACACATAGGGAGTCGTTATACTATGTAAAACATTTTCTTTTTCAGATTCTTATAATTTGCACGCTTGTGATTGCTGTAAGCTTAGCTGAACCGCCTGTTAATAACAGGTAAGAATAAAATAAAACCTTTTGAATTAGACCCGTATGGTGAATTATACCAAGTGTTGTGTGTTATCTTAAACTCAAAGACTTCATAAACTGAATTGCATTCTAAAAATTGTGTGGGTCAAATAGAAAACGAAATGAAAATATCAAAACCTATTGCGATAATAACCTCCGCCCGCCATCAATGGAAATTTCATGCCCATGTGACCTATTGATAATAGGTGTATCATTTTTCAAGTTATCGAAGTTTAAAAAAAACTGTTTATTTACCTAGTGATAAGTATATAAAAAAATTAACATAACAAAATTCATAAGAAAGCAGAAAACTGGATGTGTTTCTTTAATTACATAAATATGTCGTCTGTCATTTATAATTTCTAATTCATCACCCGATAAAGGCTAATCAGTCCGATTCAATATGCATGACTTATTATAGTATTTAAATGAGCTTTTAAATAATGTCCTTCACGATGTTGCAGATACCTACCTCCTCAGCGTGGATTCAGTGGCGGCTTGTCGTCGCCATCTCAGTCATACGGAGCTCCATTTGGTGGACAGAGGCAGACGGACGCTGTGTTTGGGTATCTTAAACTTTATTTACTCAAATAGAAAGATGATTCTTCTTATAGTGTCAACAAATGTTATATTCAGAATTATCTTCGATAGAGTACTAATATCGCTTTAAATAAAACTTGCAGAAGCCGACCATCGTCCTCCTACGGTACCCCATCATTCAATTCCCGTTCCACACGTCCTTCATCCCAATACGGTCTTCCTAGCCACTCTAGGTCAAATCTGCAAGCGCCATCCAGCCAATACTTACCAGCGAGAATAAGCCAAACACCATCTACGCAATATGGGACACCTAGATCAACTAATTACCAAGCATCACAATTTGCATCCAGAAACCAAGCTCCTTCTACTCAATACGGTGCACCAAGCTTCCAAGCTCCTTCTACTCAGTATGGAGCACCTAATGACTTCCAAGCTCCATCCAGCCAGTTCGAACAGCCGTCAACGCAATACGGAGCACCTGGATTAGGCAGGTCTACCCCTTCACAGCAATATGGCGCGCCCGCCCTTGGTGGTAAGTTTATTGTACTTTCTCCTTTGGCTCGACAATAAAGCCTTCTCAGCAAACCTACAGCAAGATATCGTCCAAACGAAACCAAACGACTTTTGAAATATTAGTTTATTTTTATGTAAAAGGAATTTCTATTTCAAACATTATTTAAATAAATGTATAACCATAGGGCAAACAAAAGAATATTACATTGTCTATAATTTGCATTGTCAATTTATTTATCTTATGTAAAAAAAAACTTTCAACTGTCTTGGACGCCTAAGTCAGTTGGGTTTACAATTATTTGGTTACAAGATAAAAAGGAAGAAGTTACAAATAATTGAATGTAATATTATATATCCATACGGGTAGATGACCCGGTTTGGCGAATTTTAGATTTGAACTCAGTTTTAGCCATTTTAAGTTATAAGGAATTAAACTTTGACACGAGTATTAAAGATCGTAGAAGGTAAAGTAATATATTTGCCTTTGTTTTAGTTACAACGACTTCCAAGTTCCAAAAGGCTAAAAAGGGGCGAGTGGACAAAACCGGGTCATCTGCCCAAATCCTTGGGAATTATATCTTAATATCATCGTTACATAGTATAAAACAAAGTCGCATTCTCTGTCCCTATGTATGCTTAATTATTTAAAACTACGCAACGGAAAATCTCATAAAGAACGCCCCTCTTTCGCCACACGCACATTCTTCCACGTAGAACATTTACATATAAAATTAATTTATATAAGCTGTTTATTTTTCAGGCAACCAATACTCTCTCAATGGTGGCTCCAGTTTTGGAGGCACAGAGAGATCTTACTTGCCACCGTCTGCAAGACGTACTGGTTACGCCGGCGATGATGAAGCGAACTCGGTAAATTACTCTTACAAAACGATTCTGAAGATCATACTACCATATTCGTTGTATATGTATACTAATATTATAAAAGGATAAAGAAGCTAACTTTGTTAAGCTAAAATTAAAATTCTGAACTAAAATTCTGAACCGATCATGAACATTCTTTCACCTGCGAGAAGCTACATCATAAGTCGACATAGACTAATTGTAAGTTACGCTAGCGAAGTTACGGTTTTACGATATAATAAAACAAAAAGTAAATTAACTGCAGGAACCAGCAAACTACAACTTCGAATACATGGTGAAGGACGAGCAGTCTGGTAATGACTTCGGACACCGCGAGTCCAGACAAGGAGACAGAGCTGAAGGCCTATACTACGTCGTGCTGCCCGATGGAAGGAAACAGGTCAGTTCCGGAGAAACTTACTTAAAATCTGTATTTTTAAAACGTCCATTAAGGTTTAATGTCGCCTTTAAGCTCTAATGGATGTCAATTTTTTATGGGGTAATGTCGCTTTAAATTAATGAAAAATTTTATTGGACTTTTGTGCAACTGGCTGTTAGTAAGACAAGTCATAGTTGGGTAGGAGCCATTCTTGCAGGATCCTAGATACTTTCCCTAGGGTATTCTGTAGCGGGAGCCCTGATTTAAGGCATAAGATGCATTTCCCCTATATTGAAAGGAAATGTCACAGTAGACTTCTAAATCATTACAATAACATAATGACGTCATCGTTTGATGACGTCAGAATTGACAGTTTATCAAACATAGTACCGCCATCTAGCCTCTTTTATTTTAGTAAATCCTTTTTTAAACTTCTTTATTGATGATAAAGTACCCATAGGTATGCTTTCTCACTTTTAACACCATAACACAAGGCACGTCAGGTTACCAAGATATGTCAAAACCCTAGTTGATTTTAAACGTTACCTCAAAGCATTAAGGCTTAAAATAAAGTGGAGTAATTTGGCAGATTTGTATAACTGATCTGCTATTGATTGTACATACTGTAATTTAACATTTCAGACTGTGGAGTATGAGGCTGACGAGAACGGTTACAAGCCTAGAATATCCTATGAAGACACTGGCTTAGGATCTGCTGGATACAACAGGAACAGCCAGTCTGGTTACCCGGATTATCAGAACCAAGGAGGTCCTTACTAATGATTTATTCTAATAAAAACATTATACCTCCATATGAAACGTAAGACCATTTATATCTGCTTGTCATAACATTCGTTTCCTGTAAAAATCACCTTTTGCTAGAGTCGCCATCTAGTGAGGTACATTTTTAGTGATTTCTTTTTTAATACTTCCTAATTACAAACAAATACTCAAATATTGTGGTCTATATATAAGACTTAAAATACCGTTAGCAATTTTGACATAATAAGTCATAATTGAAATGTAATTTTATATTTAGCTATATTTAATAGAAACGTAAATAAGATTAAACGACGACATTCGCTATAAAAAAGGACTCCGTGCAATAGCCCTTGTATATAACCTAATACTTTAATAGTTATAAGTCTCACCTTTAGAAGTAACCATCTAAGTACAAAAATATTTTTATACTTAAATTTTTATTATAATGTAAAGTCTTTCTATACTTCTATTGTTTAGAGAAATTCTAATGCCAATATGTATATTTTCTTAATATTATTTTTTCTTCATTTTAGACTCATATACCCACCTCTTATATAATTTTAACTATTATTATCCTTTTTTAACTATCAATAAATTATTGTTAGTAACAAATTGTGAATTGTAAATAAATGAAACTTACCAATATCGAAAAATCCATGATTTTTGTTTACACCCTGCCTTTTAAAGTATAAGTGGAATTGAGTCATTTTCTATATCTTATAAAGGAAAGCTAATAAAAGGCAAAATAAAAATCAGATGTATATTTAATAATTATTTATTGTTTTCATTTACTCATATCACGCATCATATTACTTATCTACACCAATCAGTTATTCAATTTACAAAAAGAACACAAACATTACGTTTGAGTTGTCAACTATTTAAATAATTAACACTTCATTTATCCAAACGCAAAATACTTTTTGTTACAACTTAGCTAAAACAGCGACCTTTCAAAAAAAATAATTTATATCCCTGTTCACCCTGCCTGACAGGTTTATAGAAGGTAAATAATTTTTTTGTTGATATTAATCGATAAATTCTCATCTTCATGAGAAGAGTTAAATGTGTTTTATTAAAAACACCTCTGTAACCTATTTATAAATAATGTCAAAATAACAACTGTCAAAAATTTATAGTGAACCAGTGACAAAGAATTCGTTATATATAATCTATACTAATATTAAAAGAAGAAAGATTCATTGTTTGTTTGCGTCCAATAGGTTCCGAAACTATTGGACCGATTTCAAAAATTCTTCCTACAGAAAGCTTCATCATACGCGGGTGACATATGCTATAACATAGGCAGGCAAAGTCACGGGAAAACCGCTGGTTATTATATAAAAAAAAATATTGACAATTCTAGCTACTGCGCTATTTATATAATATATAAATGTGAAATATCACCATGATAGTGATAAATTAGATGTTACACGCTTAACATAATATATAAGAATGGGGACGAAAACATAAGATATATAAACTCAGATTAATTAACCATACACTTCGTCAAATTCCTGGCTAACCGTACACATTTATCTAAAACGTTAAAAGCATTATTTACAAATTTGACAATGTTTTAATTAAAAATTACAAGTGGTATCATTCAACTATTAAATAATAACATCAAAATCAATTCATCACACTGCCGCTCAACGGCATTTAGTGTCATTTTATTTTAAGAGTTCTAACAAAAATTACTGCTGTATGAAAACATAACCTTAATATAATATAAATAAAATTTCATTTCATTTGCAAATTAGATATACAAAACAAATCATGCTGTCATAAAAAGTTGACAGAAATAAATAAACTAAAATAATTACTGTCTTAATGTCTTGTCTTTACAGAAAGTGAATGAGTACAGAAATAGGAATATATAGAACCCAAAAGAAATTCTCACTACAATCGTAGAATTTGCCGTAGACCCCATAAGAGAACTTCAGGCGATATCGTTTTTACTCTAATTCCACTGTATTTCTACGAGTTTTGCTTACTTCGTGAGTAAACATTTTTTGTGGAGAGAGGTATAACGCTAACTTTAACAGCATACAAAGAAAACATATAAAATTTATACATATTTAACATCCAATGAGAAAACTAGAATATGGATAATGACTGGATAAACAAAAAAAAACTATTCTGTTCATCGGTTAGATAATATAGAAATATTAGAAATGTATTTCTTGCTTGAATTTAAAAAGAAACGTCTACATATTAAGCAGTTAATTTGAGGAGTGTGGGCTCGCTACGTCACAACTATGTACAAAGATGTGACGTATCACATCGTCGTAATTTATTGATATCGCAAAAAATACACGTTTAATATACTTTAATAATTTACCAGACGGACAGACAAATAAAAATTAGTCATCATCCCATTTTATTAAAAGCGGTACTTCAAACTTGCCTGTTAATACTCGTATAACTTTTATTTTAATAATTTCAGTAAGCGGTATAAGTAGTAATTCTAAGAAAATATACACAAACTGTCAATTTCATTATAACTACTAGTAAAACAAGTTTTTTACAATAATATATGTGCATTGGAAAGTAAAATAAAGTTGTTACCGATTAAAATACATCAGAATCCATTTAATTATACAGGTATTAAATTTAGTCAATATATTATTACTTATAATAAAATTGTATTTATGTATTATAACTTTACTTATTATAGACTTACTAAGTTGATATTAACTTAAAGGGGACATGTGCGTCTAAGTACATAAAAAAACATAATACCTACTTAAAAATTAAAATTTTGGTATTAAATTTCATCAACTACTAACTACCTTTTAATACTACCAGTTATAACACAGTTCAAAATTAGAAACTAATACATTTTTGTGTATCTTGAAAACGAATAAAAGAAAAGTATTCTTATATATATATAAGTAATAGTAAGTTTTAGTTAAAGTAAAAATACACGGCTTATTTTACTCTTACATTTCACCCTCTAGAATGTTCGCAGACCATTTAGTACATGCGTTTCATAAATTCTTAAAAAGGGTCCACAAACTTCCTTCCATACATAGCCTCTCCTTATTCAGTTTTGTGTTCAAAATTGTAAACTAGTATCAATAAAATATATGACTTATTACGATATCTATTTGAAAAATCCTTAATAGATATCTGTATAGATAATCTTTAATGAATAGATACTTAATAAATGAGTGCACGGTAATTGTACGTGAACTTTAACGGTGTTTAAAATTTTATATTTCATGTTTTTATTTCATTTGTTTATATTTCATTTCTACAAAAAAGGAAATAATTAGGCAACAATATAATGACAAGCAGTGTTGTAATAAAAGAGTAAATACTGAAAATAATACAATTAAATACAAAAACAAAAAATTATAGTACATTATTGATACATTTATTTTTTTTTAATTATAATTTTATTTATTTTAACTGTTAGCTAGCCTACCAATAAAAAAATGGTAACACTATACGACTATTTTAAATAGTTTTTTTACTCTTTCATCCATAGAATTCAACACAGTCCTTTAATTGTAAAAGAAAACGAAACAAAATACTTTGTATAATTAATTATAAATATTTGTGCGGTCTTCTCACATCATAATATTATTTCTATATAATAATATTCTGCATTAACGAATATTGTTCGTCCTGAGAAATAGGGATTGAGTCAAATATCTGTATATAATTATATAACATGTGTGTAAAAAAACTTGTCATGTGACACTAGTCCTCTCTATAGTTATTGTTTTACCTCAAGATAAGAGATAGTTTTACCTCAGACATGAAGTTATATATATATATGTATATATAGACTATATACATGTACACAGTAAAATGATACACTGTTGTTTTTTTATTCAACACTATGAAATAAATAATAATTATACTGATTACAATTGGTAAGAAATTAAAGAATGGAAATAGATATTACATTAGACATAAAGTTCATTTTAATTTAAAAAATAATAATTAACAAAAAAAAAGAATTTGGTACAACACTACATATAAAAGTATATTTTCTAAATTATATATTTATTTCTATTTGGTAATTACAGTCAAACATTTGGGATTGGTGGAAAAAAAAAACATCCCAAATTGATGATATGCTAAAGCTTGTAAAATAATTATTCTATTACCTACGCAAAAAAAAATTATTATTTATAAATTTTATTTTCCAAACACTGATAAATAAAACTATAAATTATTAACTATTAAGATCTAATAATGAGTGTAAAGATAAATGCGTCGAATTGAATTCATTGTTAAAAATTTTTGCTTATTTCCATACTGAAATGAAATCTTAAAACATTGCTAATGTAGCATACATCGGCCCAAACACCTGCAATTTTTCTCGCTCTAATACCTATGTTTCTTTATGTTAAGAGAGGGACAGAGCGATATTGCAATGACATAACAAAGCGCATTAAGTGAGATTCATACTAAAATCTCAGTAAAAAACGTTCGAGCACTTACGCATTATTTTACCACAGCGAATAAACAATACTTTAGAGCAACAAAATTTTACTTATTAAACTATCCACAGTCAAGCCAAGTACACGGCATGTCGTGCTAATATTAAGTGACAATTTTCCGCAAAAACTTTCTGAACTCTACTGGTAAAGCAATAAAGGTTGAAATAGTTTAAAAAAATTGATAGTGTAACCTGATTTAATTGACTTTACAACTAATACCAATGCAAATAAATCAGAAGCTAAATTGTAACGCTAATGTATCTGTGTTTTTAGCAATGGCCGCTATATTTAAATATGGATATGACACCGTGATTCGAAGTTTTAAACTTACTTATAACATTAATAAACAAATCCAATTAGTTGAAGATTGTTAAATAATAAACGGAAATTGATCTTACTCATTTGGTATTACAATATATCACATTAGTGCATTAAAAACCGAGACCCAGGGAATATCTATATTATGACAACACTTATGAATAATAAATATAGCACTGCTATTCGCTGTGGCAAAATTATTTATACCCGTATTTATAAACAACACTTAAAATGCAATGTTTTAGTCAAAAATAGTATAATAATGTCTTATATATAGCTTGGCTAGTGGCTTATCTATAGCTTGGCTAGTGGAAGCGAGGTCTAAGGCCGAGCAAAACTAAATATTGGCTGTGCACAGTTCAATCGTTGCAATAACAATACATGTTAAGGTGGGGATGCTGGGCACTGATGCAATGTGGCTCGTCATTATAACTAGAAAAGAAAATAGTGCTTTTTTTTATTTCTTTCACAATTGTATTGATAAAAATCACAGGAATTTATAAAGATAGAGCGATATTCTGATTTAAAAAAGCAATTTTCCGATTGCTGATAAATATGCCGGTTGCGGAGTCGTACATACTGATTGACATATAAATATAGAATATTCAAAATAAAAGAAAATGAATAAAATTAAGTAGTCCAGAGTAGACTCATCCCCAGTTTATGAAGGTTTAAAGTTTAGACGTACAATTCAAGGAAGTTTTGCTGTAGATTGAAGAGCTTGATAGCCAGTGGCTAACGCGTTTGGTCTGCAATTTAGAAATCAACTTCCGGAAGACAAAAAAAGCTCGAACTCCTTCGTGCTTGGGAAGGCACGTTAAGCCATTGGTCCTGACTACATATGCACCTTAACATCTAAAAATCCGTACTGGGCCTGCGCGGTGGGTGGTAAAAACCCTATGAAAATCCGTACAGTAGTTTTGGCTTTATTGTAAACAGACAGACGCGGCTGAGTAGCTTTTATTTGAGAATTTCTAGTGATACTTACGCGTTAGTCCGCGATATATCCCTATAATTGACTTCAAACTTGTTTTCCTTCTTCAAGTATGTCAATGATGCTTCATAAACTCCAACGCCAGGTCCGACAACAATCTAAAAATAATTATATAATAGGTAACACTAAAAATATAAAATATCTTGTATTAAGTAATTATGGGTATTCGTCTACAATGTATTGTAATATCTTTGACATTGAAATGTTGTTTAATACTTATGCCAAAATAAAGAGAAAAAAATATATATATCGGAAGACTGGTCGTTAACACCCGTTAATTTGCACTGGGCCAGCGTGGGTGGGTCATAGGCCATTCTCACTATCAAACTTCACCCATAAGAAAGGCTTATAGTGCGACCGCATTAACTCTCTAGCATGATTCTAGCCATAAGATACGACATCTTATCGATGTCATGACGATATTTCGTTTGGTGTTATTACTTTGAATGTCTTTTGGTGGATGAATTTGGGATAAATGACACTGCTATCATATCCATATTTATCTTTAATTTATCGTTCGTTCGTAGTACTTAAGTAACATCGCTATTATAATATGGCTATAATTTTTTTTTGTTTCAAACTTTTAAAAGTGTGATTTAGCTAAAGTCGGGTTTTAGTTTTTGAAAGTTATAGTTTTTAGTTTATGAAGAGCGTGATTTTAACCCAATTACGGGTTAAGATTTTGAACTTTTCTTTTATTTAATTAATTTACGGGGGTATTCAAGCAATAGCTATATATATTTGAAATATGCTAATTAAGCCCTTTCATATGATATCTTACACGGAATTATTGAATATTATATATACACATATTAAATTTCTAGCTTTATGCTCGCTAGAGGGCGCTATTGCCAATTTAATGTAACGTCACGCGGATAACTAAGACGCTTCTAATGATACCTCATTTGTCTAGTTACGAGGAGTAGTTTCGAAGTTGTAAGGGAACAGATGAACATTCTTACACACATACATACCGGCCAAAATCATAACCTTTTCGTTTCGCTGTAGTCGGTTAAAAATAAAACGAAATATCGGCATAATATCGATAAGATGTCGTATCCAAAGGTCAGGATCATTTCTGAGCCTCAACAATGGAGACATAAATAGGCTGGTGATAATTAATACAAGTCCCTTAAATTGCTTATGCGCTAGAACCTTGTCTAAATAACATTTGGTGACGTCGTTTAAAAATAGAAAGTATAGACAGCACAAAATGCAAGAGATTAAAATGATTTAGTTAATTTATTGCATTAGTTTTTGAAAGAGGACAATTTACATGTTAATATATTGAGATATATGGAAAATAAATAAAAAAAATAAAATAAAAAATAACATTTAATTTATAATAACGCGAAAAGAAAGGGAAAGGATATTTTTTTTTAAACACAGCCAAATGTAATAAGGGCCGTCCATAAATTAAGTCACAAAACATCATTATTTATACCCCCCCCTCCTAACGTGTGACGTAATTTATGGATGGCCCCTAATGAAATGTGAGACATTAGATATATTTATTTTTAAGGAAATTAGGTATACCTTTGAAAATCTTAATATCGGTTGCTATTTTAGTCAAACATAACAAGTACCAACAAATCATAACAATAATAATCGAAAAGAAACAAAAACATAATAGCATTGTGTGTGATCTCAACATAACTAAACACAATAAGTATACTCGTCAATCAGTGTTTATTTGCCAACGGTACTGATTGTTGAACGCAATTACGTCACCAAAATGGCGGCCAGGCGCATTAACAATTTGCGGGGATTATATCAATATAGCTCAGCATTATTTCTTCTATATTATTGTTACCTACTATTGGTGTTTTTGTACAATAAATAATTAATCAATTCAATTCATTTGAAATACGTTTATAATTATAAAATAAGTTATTGATATAGTTTACCTTAACTTGGTACACTTCTTTCTGTACGTCTACCTTTCCGCCGAACTTGCCAACGTATCCATCAGCATCTTTAGATGCCACAAAGGACATCATGTTTTTGTTTGGCAATTGTTTCATCACCCAATCGATAGAAGTGAGCGTCCGGGGCGTACATAAAGATCTGCGAACAAAATAAAAGTTGAATGATTTCTACAATTTTAAATATATTGGTATTTTGGTTAGTTTTGCATTCACAGCGCTATACTGGAAAAGATTCATAATGAAAAATGATTAAAAGATCCACCAGTAACAGGTTATCTGAGGAGGGACTCGAACTCGAATTATATTAGATCAAATTTGCATAGTTGTTTGAGCGGTTTGGGTAAAAATAAGCTCATTGGTAGCGAAAAGTAACAAGTGCTTGAAAAATCCCTCAGTCCTGTAGGGCATGGGTAAAGTAAATAAGATGGCGAAAGGTCGTAGATTCGAGTCCCACCACACAGTACCCTGGGATGGTAGATTTTTTGAGTATCTTTCATTAAGAATACTTTTAAATGTGTAAATAGAACCAGTGGCCTAACTATATAATTTTTAAACTCTATCACAATCCATTTCAAACGTAAAGCGGTTGTGATTGTGAGTTACACAACGAGGAAGTATTTAAGAAAAAAAAGAAAGTACTAAAAAAGCACCTCCACTAGATGGCGACGCTAGCAAAAGTTAATTTTTGCAGGAAACGACTGGTCCAAAGATAGTCATTTTCGTTCCTTTTAACTAACTATTAAAAAACTGAAATTTATGGATTTTTGAAAACTAATTTACTTTTATACATGACAGAAAACCGGGAGGGTTGTCATTTATTTATTTATTTAAGGTTTACCAACGTTTGTGTTCAATATTACATACATTATATTTACAATAAATTGTTTGTTAAATAAGTAATTGTCACAAACACTTACAGGTAAACACAACATGCACTAGAACATAGAGTAAGTAAGAAACTACACTTTTACACTAGACTATAAGAAAAGGAGTTACATATTCATTTATACCAATTAATTATTTAAAAAAGAAAAACAAGATCAAACTATTATACTTATGTTAAAAAAATTAACTCCACAGTTCTAAAAAAGTCCTACGGATCTTTGAAAGTGAGTCGTGATAAATATCTATTGTGTTACTATATGTATTTATTTGTCATGGAGAAATCAAGGAAGTACTGTAGTGACATCTAGTTTGATTTCGGAAAATGTTTCTTTTTTTAAACATTTCCTTTTTCAAAGTCACAATCGCTATTGGAACGAATTATGATTTGAATGATATAAATGGCATAGTCATTTCGTTTGACATTTCTCAATAATTTTCGAATATTTTTAAACTTATAACTTTGCTTAGACAATTCCGATAAACGTCAAATAAACATTAGACAAACAAACAATCAAAATTTAAAATTTAAGAAAGAAGAGTCGAATTTGTCACCTTTGTTTCTCTGTCAGTTGATTGATGTAACGTACTAATTCCTCGGCCACCCGTTTGTATAATGGATCGTTTTCTGGTACATTCTCCCAAGTTAAACAAGCGCACCAATGGGGTTCGATTCCTGCCTCGCTGCAAGACCTATTTCTCGGCACCTGAACAAAAAATACATAAATGTACAAAACACTAACTAATATTTAAAAAAAATACTGAAAAGCGCCATCTATTGACAATAAGCCAAGTCAAAATCGAAATTCAATATCATTGACAAAACGAAAATAGCTAGATATATTTATTCAAAATTGTGACGTAGGAGTCCCCACTCTTCAACTTTAATGATTCTTTTTTAAACTTTTGCAAAATAAAATACTACAATATTTTTATATTATATTTATCTATTATGAAATATATTTTGTCAGATTGACAGACTAACTCCCATTTTCACTTACCTAGAACCAGGCATAGCTTAACTAGGAAACGCTTAATATTACTAATCACCTAAGCAGATTAGTTAATATTTAAAAAAAATATTTTTATCTCTTGACATATTTATGACCCGTCGCAATTGCAGCAATGCGCAAGGCGCCGCATAACGAATATCATAAATTTAGACATTGATTAATATCATTAGGTCGTTCCTAGTCAATGGTAAAATGTATTTTTACCTTAGGCGAATTAATAATTTAATGCCAATTTATTTTAATCATGTTTTTTTTTAATATTATTACTGAAATTCTACACATACTTATATTTGAAATAATTTATTTTATATTTATTAATAATCATGACATTATAACAGTTTATATCATATTCTTAAATGACAATGAATGTATATTAATGACTTACCTAGTGAAACATTAAAAAAAAAAAAAAAAAAACATTAAATATTTAGGTGACAGATGTGGGCGACTCGCTAAGTTTAGTAAAAACGGGCATAAATATAATTTCCTTTTTTACCCGGGGACCATCTCTATTGGATGTAAAAGAATCATTAATTTCCAAAAATCAAAATATTTCATTATTATTATTAATCCATTATATTAATAACAAAAAATTGTTTACATACGATAATACTGTTTATTGTATCGAATTCAGATCTTCCTATTTTTCAGTCTGTTAGTATAAGGCACGTTATGCTATTGGTCCTGGCTGCATCCGCAGTCGTTAATACCTTCCAAACCGCATTGGGACAATGTGAAGAGTCATGGCATGTCCTCCTTATCCATCCATAAGGAAGGCCTGCCCCTGCAGTGGGGACCTAAAATGGCTGATGATGATGATGAAACTCACCGGTTCCAAAAGGGACAATCCTCTCCGGAGATCGGCTCCTGGTATTTTGAAATCATTCCAATGTTTACGCCAATCCAAGGCGTCGAGCACAGTAGCATATATATCATGCGGTGTAGTCAATGCGTCAGCGTTTATTTCCAAGGCCGCTTGTGCATTAGGACGTTTCTTTTTCAGATCCTCAGGTAAAACTATAGCCATTAGGGGTAATCGCTCCTCGAATTTACCCTGTAACGTACTCCTGACTTGGGCATATCTGTGAAAAATAAAAAGTATCAATTATAATTTAACGTCACAATTAAGAATAAATATGTTTTCGGCAACTTAAAATAACGTAGTTGATAAGCGCCGCGGCCCGCGATCGTTGTCATTAAGCAACTTTCGCAAGGGTCGGTCACGGGATGGGTGACCAAAAATTATTATCACGAGCTACTCTGTGCTTCGGAAGGTACGTTAATCCGTTGGTCCCGGCTGCATTTGCAGTCGCTAATACCCTCCAATCCACATTGGGCCAGCGTGGAGGATCATGGACCATCCTCCTTAACCACCCATAAGGAAGGCCTGAGCCCCTGCAGTGGGGACGTAAAAGGACTGATGATGATGAACTTAAAATAAAATTAGAGCTAAAGTAATAAATTTATAACATTCTGCCTAAAGATCATTTTTCATTATGGCTGATTTACACGTTATTAAATATTAAGTAAATTCCAATTTAAAATTCAATTAAGTAGTAAACTAATTTTTTACCTTACACTTATTTGTGTTTACTTAATCACTTAAAATTAAGTTAAAAATCTACTTATCTACTCAATTACGTGTAAACCAGCCATTAAACTGTGCCATACTATGAACGCATCACGCACGGAAACCAACGATATAGTCTACAATGCCCACTAACAGATCAACCGCGTATTAAACACATATGTAACCCGTTTACCAAGAGTAGAATGTGAAACTAACACATACTATTTTTTTCCGTCACCATCCTACATAAGAGCGAGCCACGCACGGAGCGTTTCGTTACAGGCAAAATATTCTTAAAGAGCTGAATAATTTGGCGCTCTTGTTATGGGCACAGTTCTATATTTTGCAGTGGGCAAAACCTTTAAGGGCCTCTTGTCCCCCCGCTTGCGTTCCCTTACAAATACGCAAATAAGTACGCATCGAGGGTAAAGACGCGCTCGCTTGAATTCATACATTTTTAATCACAGAAAAAAAAAATACAATAACAAAAAAGAACTTTTGATAAGATATAAAACCTTTTTTGTATATATTTTTGTATGGTTACGATGAAATTGTCGTAAAATCGGTTCAAAAAACCTATTAAAGTCACCTTTGCGATGTTTTCTACGGGGTCAATTAAAATCAATTCAAATTCGTTTATTTGGCACACGTACATAGGACACTTACGGGCAATTAAAAATGAGAAAAAACATAAAAAAAAGATAGTAATAATAATAACATATATTATTCTTTTTATTCTAGTTTTTAGTATTTTTTGTTTAAGGCGGTAACAGAAATACATGACTTGTCATCAAAATTTCAACTGTTTTACTTTCACGGTTCATGAGGTACAGCCTAACGACGGACAGACAGACAGACAACGAAGTCATAGCAATAGAGATCCCGTTTTACCCCTTGGGTACGGAACATTAAAAAAAAATGCCAAAATAAAAGCTGTACACTCACCTAGCCCCATGGTCACCCATCACGAACAGCAGCGTGTCTTTCATCCTGCCGGCTTCCTTGAAGGTCCTCAAGAAGTCCACGGTGGCGTTGTCGGCCGCTCCGATTACGTTGAAGTCGTCGTGTGTGATGTCCGCGATAAACGTGAAGCAAAACCGCTTTCCGTCCAACCTGAGGAACTGGACAAAGATATTAATAGTTAAGACTGCGCCTAAAGACAAATAGAAAAGTGGACGAAGGGACAGTATACAGTAAGTAACGGGTAGTTTACAGTACCATCGGCGGCCTAATCAATGAAAAGCAATTTAATTCAGGCAGCTATATATGTGCGGTACTCACATACTAATTCGCATTAATAATAGAGATTGCAAGCTCGATTACTTCGATCAATATGCTTATTGATAGAAAAAGTAAAATAAGTATGAATAATGTACAAAAAAACAAAAATATTGAAAAACTTTATTAAATAGAAAAAATAGATAATGCCACTTAGGATACATTGTCATAATATGGATATTACTGCATGCTGACAATCGAATATAAATTATTTTCATTAAAAATCGATTTGATCATTATTAAATTATTCTGAATGAAAATGCTTAAACATCCACTTTGTTTCTGGCACTCTGAGATGGGATCCGAACCCATGACGTTTCGCAATCCGGGCGATTCTTTAAGCATTTTTGATTTGGTCATTTTCTTTGAGAATCCAGTTCCAACAACTGTCAATAAGGATGTCCATTCTAAATGTCAAAAAAAGTCTTTTCTCTGATCATTTATCAAAATTCCCTGATTAATAATGTAATTTGAAATTAACACATTTTAAAAGTAAAGTTCTAAAAAACAATATTTCATGTTCTACAAAAACACAGGCCATCTCTATGAATTTAATAAAATAGGAAGATAACATGACAATATACATAAGTTATGGCCCGTAATCCACAAAAGTTATATTTCAAGTTACAGATGCAGCCGAGTCCAATAACTTAGCGTGCATAACAGATCACGAAACTCGATATAATAACTTTAAGATCGAGTGATTTCTTTGCAATTATACGAAAAAGAGCTGCCCCTTTCAAAGATCGAATAAGTATCACCAACAATATAATTATATTATCAATTTATGACTCGTGTAAAATTATAAAATGTGATTTATGACAGATTATATATAATGTATTAATGTAATTGTACTCATTGAATTATTTATTAACTTTGTTTTAATTCGCAATTTTTTCGCAGTAAAGACCGAAGGCTAATAATGATTTTTATTGTAACCAGCGTATCATAGAACTTCTCAATTGTGAGATTTAATTCAACAGTTTTGTTTCTAACGTTGCAAGCAATTTCAAAGCCTGTCATATCCATATTGACATATACGATTGAGGTTATCAACCCTAAGTTCTAATCTAATCACTAATGGTAAAACTACACACCGATAATCGGTATGAATGAAGAAACCTTGAACGGTTGTCCATTTATAAGAGTTTTTATTAATGCTAGTTTTAAGTCACAGTTTATTCAAGATGTCTATTTTTTTATTTTTATATGCTTAAACTAAGCTAACCTTGTTTGTTACTCAAGTTCAAAAAGCAGAACATTCCGCAATACATGTCCAGAAAGAAATAACCTTATCAATTCGACCTTTAACTCCGGCGGTAATTGATACTTATCATCATTTATTTAATTGCCATTATAATTACGATTTATAATTATTTTATTATTATCATTTTTCTCTCGAAACGGCTCCGATCTTCATGAAGTTTAGTATGCAAGGTATTTCCAGGGATTTAAATCGATCTATATAGGTTTCATTTACCAAAAAAATATCATTCATGAGCGAGATATAATGCTAACGTCTACGCTAGCAAAATTAAGGCCGTCAAAACACCAGCACATTCCATTGGTCATCACCAGCGCGTTGTACGTCCCCACTGCAAGGGCTCAGGCCTTCCTTATGGATGGTTAAAGAGGCTATGACCTTCCGAGCTGACCTTTTGCGGATTTGAGTGTATTAACGACTGTGAATGCAGTCGGAACCAACGCTTTAACGTGCCTTCCAAAACACACATTTTTTTATATTTTTTGGTCACCCATCCGTAACCGTCCCTCTGAAAGTTGCTTAACAACGATCGTGGGTCGCGGCGCTTATCCACACCACTTAGCTACTTACTCAAAGCAAATGTTGCTTCTCCATAATCACCGATTTAAAGCTAACCACTGCGCTATTTATCTGTGATTCAATACTCTACTTTAATACCTGATCAGTAAGGTTCATCATGAGCTTGAACCGCGGCGTCGCGCCAACGCAGTACCGGGTGTCTTTAAACTTCCATAATGAACCACGCGACGACTCCTCAAGATAAAAGGAGCGCAGATAGTGGTCAGCCGGTTGTTTCCGGAAGCCCTTGAACCGGTATTGAAACGTTCCGATCCACGGCATATCCTCGAAGTAAGCCGTACGGTAGCTAGAAGAAAAATCACAGATATAAAAACAATAAATCACTGAAGTAACTGCAAACAATAAAGAATTTAATATATAAACGATGTATGAATTCAGCATTCTTTAAGACACAATCGTGTTATGAAAACATTTCACATATAAAGAAAAAACAGTAAACACTATCGAGTAAAAAACAATTAAAATACTGCGGATATGCGGGTTCGAGTATTGAGTCTCAGCTAGAAAATTAAAACAACCCGATGTGACTCTGGCAACATTGGCCCGAAATAGTAATCTTACTTACTAGAAATCCTAAAATGTTATAAAAGCAAATATTGAATAAAGCAAATATGATATATATCGGTTGATATCAATTATCGAATATTTTGGTATTCATTATAAAAATTGGATTTTTGCGAACCCTGATAATAATACAATGCCAATTATTATTTATTTTTTTTTGTAATTTTAAAATTGAACATCTCACAATATAGATGTTTGGTAATTGGACAATATAAAGCCGAAACCTCTAGTTCAATAGTAGCGTTGAAATATCACATTAAAAATTAAGGATACGGATAAAATATATAATAAAGTATAATATTTTCTATGAGATTTTAAAGTTTCTATTTTTAAATTTAAATGACAGACATATATATTTTTTTTAATTTTATTCATTGGCCTCTATTTCCTAACAGTGTCTTATCAAGGGGACGGAAGTGATGCGTTGATAACGACATATTTATATCTACATTATAGAACCGTAATTCGCTCAATGTAAGATATTAAGGATTCGTATTGAAGGTATTATTAGGAAATATATTTGTAACAACGCAATGAAAAAAATGTTGTGCAATATAACATAATAAAGATAGAGTAAAAAGTACATTTTATCTTCATTGTCCAACGGTTAAAAAGAGAGAATATCATAGTACTGTAAACCCCGAGCACGTTACTATGGATATACTTTCCGAATGTTCTATGGCTAATTACTGGCCGCTTAAAGAATTCTGCATTCGCGTTAGTTTGGAACGTTATGATAAGTAAAACAAAGTTTTACATTTTGTTTTTTTTTAGTAATGGTTTAGGTCTTAGGGGTAATTATCATTTTGTGATCTCGCAATAACAGTGTTATTTAAATAAACATCTTAAAATTAAATAAAACCTTCATCTTGCGCCTAAAGAAGACGTTGGCAAGGGACAGTTAAAAACGATATTATTTCAAACCTCCATGGTCCCTAACGTTAGAGGAATAAATTGTTGACGACATTTCTACGTCACGAGGTCGATAACCCAAAGGGGTTTTATTATACTATATTATATTATACTATATTATGTCATAATATATTGAAAGCAATATATTATGACAAGTTCAAATCCAAATGCCATGTCCAAAGAGACACAACGTCATAATAAAGCATCTAAACTTATACATTTATTACTTTCGAAACTGGTAGACAACTTTCTTTGTAGACCCTACACGATAGAAATCCCGTATAAAGCAATATTTATTCTAAAGCAACACTTTACTACAGATATGCTATCGATATGCTATCATGCTCCCTGTCCACGTTAACTCGCTAGTTAACTCTGCTTCGATAACGACTACACTACATCGAAATAATTGCATAATATGAAAAGGGAAAATGAATTTTTTACAATATTTACCAGATTATTTATTAATGAAACCCTGGCTCCTAAATTTAATAAACTTATTTAATCAAAATCAAAATTTATTTATTCAGTTTAGGCTTTTACAGAGCACTTGTGAAAGTCGAAAACTACGCCATCGGTTCGCAAAACTACGGCGGGAGACCTTGTACTGAGAAGAACCGACAAGAAACTCAGCTTTAAGCCAGTTCATTCCTAAAAAGTAAATGTTTGTATTGTGTTGAGTATCAATGAAGCAAATCCAATTTTCCCTAGTTGGTGAAAATAAAAACAGTAACGTAATAAATGAGGTGTAATATTATAATCTACCAGGACTTCGTGGAATGGATGAGTTAAGTATACTGACAAACTTTCACTATGGGAGCAACACTGAATTCAGGATAAATATAATCAGCTGTTTCATACTGTTGGCATTTGTAGGTATTACAATTTTGTATATGTTGCTCCCATGGTAAAAGTTGGTCAGTATACATAACTCCATCTCACGAAATCCTGGCATATAATAATATAACACTTTATATCATTATAAGTGATTTATCTAGCTTCAAGTTTTTAAACCTAAAACATGACTAAAGCTTTGATTGAGTAACCAACTAATAACTCAAAATCAACATTTAAAATAATAAATACACACGTCTGCAAGTCGGACTACCACAAATGTCAAATTCCTCAATTGATTTTGAACTCTACCTACAACACATTAAGGTCATTTCACGTCATCAAAAAAATCACAACTTTGCACTCGAACAAAAAATATAGGAAAACTCATTCTCACCCATCTTCTTTCAGCTTATAGAATATGAAGGGCATATCGTCTAGTGTGCCAGCAGTCTTTATCGTCTTCCTGACATCGGGCAGTTCCAATTCAGTCTTCCCAGTTAAGATCGGGAATAATGCGGCCGGTGTGCCGTCACCGACAATGTTATATCTGAAATAGATGACGTGTCGATGTAAAAGCACTAAGGGCTCATTTACACTGATCGATGAGGTCAGCACGCGGAATTTCATTTAATAAAACAATCTCATATAACAAATTTTAATGTTACTGTTGGCACGCTACCACCTCCTCCAAAAGTTCTTTGCCACAAGGGTCGTTAGGAAGAAGCTCTTAGCGATAAAGACGCCTTTACCCACTCAATGTTAAGAAATCTGATGTTTACTTTTTCTTATGTGAGCAATAAAGACTTTTATCTATCTGTATCTGTAATTGCAAAATGTAAATAAAGTCATAAAATATAAAAAAAAAGTTTATATTTATGCGCGCTAAAACGTGAATAATAAATTCGAAACATTCAAAGTAATAATATAATAGTAAAATCAAAATTTTCTCTGCTGTAAATTAACTTGAAAAGTTTGTAAGCGCTAATGAAATCGGAGACGAGGAAGAAAGCATTCTTTTATGCGCTGTTAGAAACACTGTTAGAAAAAATGTCGAGTATAAATACTTATTTTTTTTTTGGATTTATCTGATTTAGTGTGCAAAAATAAAAGCTGGTTGGAAAAACTTTTTATTTTATATTTTATTTGTTGTTCTCATAACAACGAATCTAAAGAGCCCAAACACGATGCAGTTGCGTTATTTCATTGCTAAATTTCTATGACCACCTTCCAGTTCCATCACCACCAGACCTTGGTTTGGAAAGCATCCAATACCAAAGTCCTCATAAAGGCGGATCTAACAAACCCAAACACGGTGCAGTTGCGTTATTTCATCAATAAATTCCTATAACACCACAATACTGCATTGTCATCTGACTTACATGTCCATGCAAAATTACAAATCTATCGGACATTGGGAAATGGGTCACCTTTGAGTTCCAACGATTTGCGCACTCAGTAACATACTAGCAGACAAGTTAAATAAAAGCTTGTTATAATAATTACAGCACATTTTCATCACTAGAAACGATTATCCTATTCCTTGAGGCAAAAGTGCTCTATAGTACCGAAAATGACGGAGAAATTTTTCAAGAATTCAATGATTTTGAATGCAAAATTATGAGGAAAATTTTCATCCATACGTTTAGATATCAGGCCAACATATGACAAACATTATATAATTTCCAACGTTCATAAATAATTAATAACGAATCTATCTCACCCTTTTAGAACAGTGGCTTGCAAGTCTTCAACTAAATATTTGTAGCTGTTAGGCATTTTCCTGAGGAAGCCGTTCCTCGAGGTAGAGTCGAAGCCGAAGATCAACACGTTGAGAGTATCCTCTCTACCTTCAGGAGGTGGTTTGGGAGAAATAGTGCTGCGAAATCCAGCCACGTGGCCGGTCCACTTAGAAGGCAAGACACTAAAAAATTATAATTGATCACATGAACAACACATAAAAAAACTTAACTTGAAATCGACCTTTTACATCTATACTAATATTATGAAGCTGAAGAGTTTGTTCGTTTGTTTGTTTGAACGCGCTAATCTCAGGAGCTACTGGTTCGAATTGAAAAATTATTTTTGTGTTGAATAGACCATTTATCGTGGAAGGCTTTAGGCTTTATAACATCACGCTGCAACTATTAGGAGCGAAGAAATAATGGAAAACGCGGACGAAGTTGCTGGCGGCCAGTAGTTGTTAATAAATACACTTTAGGGGCAAATTACAATAATAGACAATCACCTAGTTGCACAATCGTTCATTAAAATTTTCATTAGTTTAAAGCGACGTAACCGACATAAATTTGACATTCATTAGACCTTAAAGGCGTCATAAAACATTAATGGACGTTTGTGCAACTGACCGTAAAACAGATATATAAAGAAAGAGACACTATTAAAATCAGAAAAAAAATAAAAGATAAGCAAAAAGAAACAAATGTTCTAATTTTTTTTTTATTATGGCATAATATTTATAATTATGGCAAATCTGTTGCGTATCTCTTGATGGTCCTTACTTCCGAAATAATCGTTCGCTTTACACGCTATACTAACCAGGAGCTATGACAAACATTCTGGCTATATACATCAAAACTACGAAACGTTAAACCGAATAATTCGGCCGAATATCCGGTTCGGTTAAGCTATTACTATTCGAACACCGAATACTATTCGTTGTTCGGTATTACGGCGGCGCCACTACTCGGCGCATCTCTAAATAATATACAGCAATAAGGCTCATAATTGAATACAATCACTATTTTTATTGTCTTTATCAAAACAGAACAAATCACTCACGTGTTCTGATGTTTTCCAGTACACTTTACTTTAGCGTGATCACTCAACACCAATTTATATATATCACCATTTTTAATATCGACGGGTGTTCCGAGATGGTAACTCGCGTCGCTATCATATATAATATCCCGGTAAGTACATGTTATATCTGATGTTGTATGCAAGATCTCTGGCACCACTTTACAGTCGGAATGCTGAAAAATAAACATTATCACATGGTAGACATACATCGATTAGATCTCAAACTCAGCGCTAAGACTGGGGTTGTGGATAACTGAATTAAAGGTGCCAACAACCCTATCAAAACCATTATAACTGTATAATTTCTGTGTTTAACTTGTTTAACATTAATCATCATAATAACAGCAACATTATTTGTTAATATTATAAAACTGAAAAGTTTGTTTGGTTAAACGATAATCTCAGAAATTATTGGTTTTAATTAAAAAATATTTCTGCTGAATAGTCCATTTATTGAGAAAGACTATACGCTATTCAACATCACGCAATGACCAACACGAGCAAAGCAGAAATAACAAATAATAATAATTGGATGCCAGTGCAATATACACACTTCCAATTTATAACGGAATCTAGACCATGTTAAATAATATTCCCGAATTAATACGATCAGATTGAAGACGTTTCATGTTTGTTTGGTTAAACGATAAACTCAGAAACTATTGGTTTTAATTAAACAATATTTCTGTTGAATAGTCCATTTATTGAGGAAGACTATACGCTATTCAACATCACGCAATGACCAACACGAGCAGAGCAGCAATAACAAATAATAATAATTGGAAAGCAAGTGCTCTATATACACACTTCAAATTTATAACGGAATCTAGACCATGTTAGATAATATTCCCGAATTATAACGATCAGATTGAAGACATTTCATTGGAAGGTAGTATCAGAAAATATATCTCGTGACAAGATAAATAAATATTGAGGGGGTGTATGTTTAAAAATTGTACCATTCACCACTCGCTTCTCATTATAATCCCCGCAAATTGCTAACGCGTCTAGCCGCCATTTCGATGACGTAATTGCAGTACCTTTAACAAATAAACTCTGGTTGTGTTGAGATCACACATCATTCTTGTTATGTTTTGTTGGTTTCGTTTGTTATTGTTAAGTTTTTTGTTACTTTTTTTTAATTTATTTAAAAAACTTGTTACGGTTGACAAATAAGCAACCGATATTATGATTTTCAACATTAGTAAACATAATTACACTAATAATAAATATATTTAATGTCTCTCATTACATTAGTACTATTGATTATGTTTAAAAAGTAAATGCTATTTTTCAATTATTTTCTTATTTTCCATATACCTACCACCTCAATATTTAAATATAAATTGATTCTTCTCCAATAATCTATGCAAATAAATCTAAACTATTAAAACAATATTTTGGGGATTATTCAGAAACATTTCAAGTATTAAAAATAATTTATGTATTGACTTTTATGCTATCTATACTTTCTTTTTTCATATGACGTCACGTGGGTGTTATTAAGACAAGATTCCAGCGCATTAGCAATTTACGGGACTTATACCTAACCCTTATATGGAATTGGAAGTGAAGTAAACATAGATAGATACAGGACATCTAAATATATATAACACAAAAGGGACTGACTGACATAGTGATCTATCAACGCACAGCCCAAACCACTGGACGGATCGGGCTGAAATTTGGCATGCACGTAGATGTTATGACATAGGCATCTGCTAAGAAAGGATTTTGATCAATTCTACCCCCAAGGGGATAAAATAGGGGATGAAACTTTGTCAATTTTAAACCGATCGGGCTGAAATTTGGCATGCATGTAGATGTTATGACGTAGGATTAAGAAAGGATTTTGATAAATTCCACTCCTAAAGGGATAAAATATATTCGTTAGAAATGCTGCTCAAAGTAATTTTACACGCGGCTGAAGTCCCGGGCGAAGCTAGTATTCAATAAAAAAATTAACAGGTGATTACATTATTGGAAGTTCAAACTGTTTTGATAAAAATAAAGATGGGGGCAATGAATCGATAAGAAATGAATTATACATCGTCGAATTTCAAGCATGCATGACAATAGAGACCGATAAGAGTAATTGTATTCGAAAATTTATTAGGTGAAAACAATCAAGTGAGTCATAAAAAACAAGGACCATTAAGTTTGAATTAACAATCTTTAATGAGATTGTTAAAGGTTTATTTACTACCGAAGACAATAAAACATTTTATAACCGGATTACTGAGTTTTTCAACGACACTTAAATATGTACATCCATCGCCGCTTAAAAGCCTAGTAATGAAAATGACAAAATTTCAAATGGTCCAAAAGCATTTCTACGTCAAATAAAATGTTTCTGTATTTGTCATCAGTCTATTAATGACACTACTGCTGGGGGTGTGAGCGTCCTGGCGAATAGGTCACGGCTTCCCAGGTCTCATCCCCAGGGGAGGGTACACCGTAGGGGTTTTTGTGGGGGTCCCACACACCCCCTGTCGCTTGCCAGGCGACAGGGATAGTGCCTAATGCATTTCCTCGACGAAAATAAAAAAGAAAAAAAAGCCTTTCCTATGGATGTAATGGAATAAACTCGAATAGGAAGAATGGGCCATGATGTGTCATGCAGTCTCATTGCGGTTCGTTGAGTCTCCGAATCGGAATTCTTGATCAGTCCCCTCTTGATTGGTTCACAAGCATACTCTGGTACTAGTGTTTTAAATCAAGAGTACGAAACGTCACAATTACAATATCGATCGGTTGCGATTGCGTTCGAGAGTACCGGGGTTAGAAACCGAGCACGGAAAACGTATGTGTGTGTCCAGCGGGTCAATTCTACTAATGTTTAATGTATAATAACTACTTGTACTTCGCTATTGTACTAACTACCTGAACTCCAATATTATTATACATTTGTCATCATTGATGTGTGAGGAACTGCACTCATTCTTATGATATGCGATTATTGCTAAAACATGGCAGAATCCGCCTGCAAGCGCACACACCCCGGTACAAAATAGCACAAATAAAACTCACCCAACACTTAACCCAATCTTGACCACTGCATCTGATCGGCGGCTTATCAACGTTAAACTGCATCACCTCTTTACTGAATGGGTCCAACTGTGGTATTTCACATCCCGTCCCTTTGTCCATTTTCAAGGCCTCCTGCAAACGCTTCTCGATGTACCTGTGACAAATACAATATATAATACTTTTATGGTGTTCATATTGCTCATGTTAGTAAATTAAAAGATGTCAGTTTTATATTAATAATTAATGAATGCATTTTGTTACAAAGTGATTTGTTGAGATAGAAACAATTCTATAGAAAATGAATATCTTATATAGAAATTTTATCAAAGTATTCTCTGAAAAAAAGTAAAGAATTAAATGTTAAAATTAGGTAATTAAAAGGAAACTCACTTCTTCTAAGAAGAAACAACAATTATATTGTTGGATTTTATTTCGTGGACGTACGGTAACGTACAAATCTATTTAGTTACATAGCCTTTAGGAATGTATTGTGTTTAGGGTTAATAATGTTAGTAGTGAAAGATGAACTGATATGGAAGACTCTCCTGACGTTTACGTGTTAACATTAACTAACGGTACAAAATACAGAGCAACTTTAAAGCTGATGTCCGACCCCAACGCCTTAGTGCAGCGGTCTTGAAACATTTTAGCTGTTGAGCGAAAATTAACATTTGAAACCCACGACCCATAAATTTCTTTCATCTATCAGTGATAACAAAATAATATGACTAATTGATCTGTGGTTCGCTCAAATGAATATCATTATAAAGCCTGCGCCAGGCACGTACTAAACTTGTTGAACACATTTTGTTCAAATAAACTGACAAATATTTGACTATCGGTCAATTGCACAAACGTCCATTAAGGTTTAATGACGTCTTTAAGCACTAATGAATATTGAATTTGTATGGGCAATATCGCTTTAAACTAATGATAATTTTAATGGACGTTTGTGCAACTGGCTGTAAGTATCAAATAACAGTGTAACCATGTGCAACATAGTTCGAACATTTAGGCACGTGATCAAATAAGCGTGTACATGTCTGGCGCCGGCGTCCCAATTTGAGTTGAGAATTCGAAAACAGAGATTAAGAAACGCTGCTTTAGTTAATAGTTAGCACTTAAAAAAGCCGCTTCAAAATCATGCTGGCTGAGATGTCAATGTTGCCGTTCAGCAGATAACATATACGCAAAAAAAAAACATGCATTTATAACATTAAACGCCTATAACGTTCAGTTAGAAACAAAGCTTGCCAAATGTAAATGCATGAAGTGCTGTTAAAATGGTATTCATAATAATAATGACTAGCAAGCAAAAATAACTACAAAATACTTACGCAATTATCTCAGGTCTGTGAAAACAAAATAAAAAATCGATTTTAATTTCAGTCCACATGCTTTACATAAAAAAAAACAAACAAACTAACCTACATAAATAACGAGACATCAAAAATTTACCTTTTGCTAAATTTACAATTTTACTACTACCTATAATAATAATGAAAATTTAATATAATCGTGTTAATTTAACGGAATACGATACAGTTCTCATCAATGTTTTGTCCAAAATAGTATATAAATATTTTTTTCCATACCAACATATCTAGTATCGTATACCCCACTATAAGAGACCTTACCTTATTAGTGCATAGAGGTACCAACGAAGCTATATATTACATTATTAGAGCATTCTATGTCTACTTTTAATACTATCCTGTTAAAAATGCGTACACGGTCTCACCATAAATTACGTCAAACGTTTTCATAGATTTTTTTACCCTTTGTCCACCCTTGTCATAGCTGCGCGCGTAGCATGACGAACTCGAGAACGTTTTGTCTTCACCCAAATGTCACTTTACTCGGGTGCGCCCCTACAATATTTCACTCTTGACCCGAGAACGTGACATTTGGTGTAGGAAAACCATTTCTCGAGTTTGCCGTGCCGTGCTGAAATTTGGCATGCAGGTAGATGTTATGTAGTAGGCATCCGCTAAGAAAGGATTTTGATCAAGTCTACCCCAAGGGGATAAAATAGGGGATAAAAGTTTGCATGAAACTTTATCAATTTTAAACCGATAGGGCTGAGACTGCATGCATAAAGCTACTATGACGTAGGCACCCCCTAAGAAAGGATTTTGATAAATTCCACCCCTAAGGGGAAAAAATAGGGAGTGAAGCTTTATTGCAGGTATTTTACACGATATAATGAATAAATATTCGTTAGAAATGCTGCTCAAAGTAACTTTACCACGCGGACGGAGTTGCGGACAAAAGCTAGTAATGGATATAATAATATATATATACAGTAATAGGTATAATAGACTCTCGAGTAATTTAATTTAGGTGAAAAATCAAGTAATTTTTCCATCTGGTTCATCTTGTTAAAAAATAAACATTTTATTAAATCTTGTTTCTGACATTGACCTCAAATTTGAATTTTTGAATATAAATTTTTTATTACTACATCACTAAAAGCTTCAAATTCCAAACGCCACCGTACCCATGTTATGTTAAAAAAGCTATAGCATACAAAGGGCTAAAACGGTCTACTATTGCGGTGAGGTTTGTCGTTGTCATTCAACTTTTCACTTCCATAGCTTTCATTACAAAAAAAAATTTGATCACCAGTTTAAAAAAAACAATCTTAAGTTTTTCCGCAAATTACTTTTTTTTAACCATATCTTTATTATCAAGGTCTTAATGTTCACTTAGAATGTGTACTTCTAATAAAAAAAAACTCTGCCCCTAACAGATTTTATTGGATTTTTAAAAAATATTTTCGCGATCTAACACATAACATGACATCTATAAGATTTACTAATAATTTAATAGTAATATGAACACAACTAAAATAAATGTAATGACCATTTTATTTGATACAATGAATGCACGTATTCTCGAGAACGCCGCTTTTAGTTTCATTTACATAATATTCTTATCCAAATTTGTTTTACAATTAAATTCAAAAAAAAATCCTTTTCTACGCTTTAGTTAGCTATAATGACGGACTTTTTGAGGACGAGAAGTGAAAAATTAGTTTTACCTAAGAGTCCTATCTTTAAACTCCCACAATTTTGGCTTACACTACTCCCACAATGCTACACTCCCTTCCAATCCTCTCTTTATTCTAAACTGCCTCCACCGCCATTCTTAACGAGTGACGTAATTTATGGGTGACCCGGAAGTTTTCTAATTTGAGTGTTTAACACTTTCAATGCGATGGAAACATTACAGAAAAATAGTGAAGTACATTGATAGACTGATCATAAACTATATTAGTACCAAGCCACCATAGTCATTCAACATATGATTTCCCAAACCAGACAGGTGTTAGATCCTAAACAACATGAATATCCAGCATAAGTGTAAATCATATTTTATCTAATCCAAAAATTAAACAAATTATTCTTAACGGCAAAACCTTGACTTGTTTTCTCTTATTGATAATAACAGCTATGAGCAACCAACCCAATTCTTTAAATAATTATATGTATAATCAAAAACACTCCGAATACCTACCTCAATAAGGAAATCTAAAGCAATATTAATCGGAATTTATTCACTAATGAGAATGTCAAAGTTTTCCCGTACTACACAACTAGGCGTCTGCCTAGTCTCAGTTATAAAAATCAAAACGTTATTGCTGTATTACATTATCGTAGTGTAAACACGACATTATCAGTTAACGTATGCAGAATAACAACATAAAACCACATTATAGTTAAGATCAAACAGCGAAACTGACCTCATTAAGAAAATAACTCCTAAACTAAATTGTAATAGGCATTTCTTTTATTCTACATATTTTTAGACTATAGGGATGATTGAAAATCCATTAAGCCCGTCAGTCAGGTAATAAAGATATTAGATACATACGAGGGTCAAACTGAAAGTTCTTAGAAAATCAAAAACTGATTACATTAGCCAGTTATTAGTTTTATTATATCTTTTCAAAATATTGTCCATTCACGTCAATACACCGCTGCATGCGATGGAACCACTGGGAAAAGCACTTTGCCCACTCGTCCTTAGGGGTCTCTTCAATGGCATCGCGATACGCAGCCACCGCTTCTTCAGCATTCATAAACCGCTTTCCTTTAAGTTTTTCTTTAATTTTTGGAAATAAATAAAAATCACAAGGCGCGAGGTCGGGGCTATACGGCGGGTGACCCAGTAATTCAACGTTTGATGTCGCCAAATAGTCGATCGTTCGCTTGGCGGTGTGCGACGAGGCGTTGTCGTGGTGAAGGAGGATCCTACTGCGAGGTCGTTTCTCTCGAACTTTTTCCAAGACAAGTGGCAAACAATTGGTAGTGTACCATTCTGCAGAAACTGTTTTTTGATCCTCTAACACAATTGTTGCAAAATGACCTATCCTTCCAAAGAACGAGGCCACCATTTTTTTTCCCGCACTTCGATCTCTCTTCACTTTAGTTGGCAACTCCTCGAAAGGAAACACCCACTGAGCAGATTGTCTTTTGGTTTTAGGATCATAACAGTAAATCCAGCTTTCGTCACCTGTTAGTATGTCGAACACAGCATTTGAGTCACCTCCGTTAAATCTTTCAATCATTTTACGACACCAATCCACACGATGGAGTTTTTGAGCCTCAGTCAAATTATGAGGTATCCACCGGGCGCAAAGCTTCCTGACCGCTAAATGTTCGTGGAGGATTTTGTGCACTTGACTCATACCGATGCCTAAGCTTGTCCGAATCTGTTGATAGGTCACTCTTTTGTCAGTCTCTATCATACGCCGCACAACACAGATGTTATCTTCAGTCGTCGCCGTAGAAGGCCGTCCCTCACGTAAATCATCAGTGAGATTAGTGCGACCACGTTTAAACTCATTAAACCAGTTGTAAACAGTCGCACGAGATGGGGCTTCATCGTGAAAGGCCAATCGTAGTCTATCATAACTTTCTTGTTGACTTAAATGACATCGAAAGTCATAAAAAATCATTGCACGAAAATTTTCTCGTGTTAAATTCATGATGACGTGACACAGACAATTTTCAATTTGCCACCAAATCGTAAAACAAATGACAAATGAATGAAATATATACTCAGTAATATTGGCAAAGAGTTATATTTTCAAATTTTAGAATTATTTTTTTATTATATTGTTTATAAGTGGCCAGTTCTAAGAACTTTCAGTTTGACCCTCGTATTTTTTGGCTTAAATTTAACTAAAAAAAAACATAGATAATAGGCATTAAAGTTGAAGAGAGGGTGTCTCGATACTCAAAATATGAAAAATACGTGTTTAATATTCTTCAATAAAATGTACCTGACGGACAGACATACAAAATTAGCCATTATCCCTATTCAAATTGTTGAATAATCAGTTCTGTGTCTGGTAAAATATTTACCACCAATACCGACACCTTATTCAATGGAAATAGTACTCCTATTTTTCCATGGGCCTAGATACAGTATCAAGAAAAAAAATTCGTCTGTATAACGCAGTAACTAATGTTAACGTCAACTTCCCATGATAATGCTTATTAATAATAATGCCACCGAAAAACGAAATAACTCTTAACATCAGTGATAGAACCACGAATGCTTAATGACCGTGATTCGTGGTCTATGAACTTAAAAACCGTTCAAAAACAGAAGAAAAGGAAGGAGCAGATTAACTTGCATTTTACCATTTTGGTATCCACCTAAAGTCCACTATTATTAGTGCAATGTCTTCCTTACACAACAATGGTAACAGATATATAATAATATTAGACTTCAGCGCTGCGATTCTGACGATTTACTAATAATTTAATTCAGTAAAGATCTTTAAGTAAAAAATTAAGTAATTTAAGTAAAAATCCAGACCCGAATTCGAATTCACTCATGTTTCCGAATTCACATCATTTAGTGTAGAAATTCTATTGATACCATTTTTTGTATAAAAATTGATTGAATCAAATCGAAATTGATTAAAAGTGTCTCAGAATTGATTAAATCAAAATTGATTAAAAGTGTCTCAGATATTCTATCTCTATGGCCTTTCCAATGCAAGGTTGAGCGGATGCCGCTTTTTGAAATGAATTCGAATTTGTATTTCTCAGAATCGCAGGGCAGGCAGTACAATGGCTAAATGCAAGTAATTAAGATTCTATCTATGCAATTATTACATAAACATTAGCAGAATTTACGTGTAGTTTTCTTAAAACATAAGTATATCTATGAAGCAGCAAGAGCAATGCAGTGACATAAAACCTTATTCTTAAAATTTCAAAGCTATTATCGTCACAATTGCTATGAATATTAAAATTGCCACCGCATCGCTCGTTGTTTTAAAAAAGCATTACTAATATTATGTTAGATACAAAAGAAAAGCGACAAATACCTGTTTAAGTCCTTTGCCTCAACTACTGGTAGAGACGAAGCAGGTACTATTCTATGTGCAAAGGAAAGCAGAGTGGGTCAGCAAAAGAAAGAGAAATGAAAAAAGAAATACAACACATATCATACACTACTTCCAAACAATCTAAGTGTTAGGCGCCTATTACACTACCCAATCTATCGGGCCCGATCCATCGGGTACACTGTAAATTGGGTAGTCTAATCGCAGTTAGAGAGTTAGGGTCCCGATATCGGGTGAACGTGGGCGCCCGATCGCCCGATGAGAGTTAGGACCGATTTATCGGGTAATGTGATCGCTGTTAGGGTGTTAGAGCGCTCAGTCGGTTGTTGCGCAGCGTGCGTGTGAGACGTCAGTGAACGACAACGAAATTTGCGAACAGACAAAAATGTCTTCTCAAAAGGAAAAGAAATAATATTAAGTGTAATTTAATATTATTACTTTTTCTTATATATATCTCTCTCAATATGATATAATGTTTTAAACATTTCTAGATAGCCTTTGCATGTGTCTGGTACAATTATAAATTTTATATAAATTACAATAATAAAAACTAATACTATAATAAACTTTATATTATTGTTGTGCCCGATAGGGTCCATAGTGAGACTAACTTAATTATGTAATATTATTTTAAATTACCTATGGAAAAAATAAACTTATTGAGTATTTATACTTTAAGTCATGATATGCATTTCCCGTTGCTAAAAATTTTAAGGTTACAGCACAGCTAACCGCTGTTTTGCGCTATATAAGGTATGACTAAGTTTAATATATGATCAAATTGTGCAGAACTCATTCTGTAGTAGTTCAAACTGCATAGTTGGTCATTTAGAAGCAAATATTTTTCTCCCAACATTTTGTTTTATTATTTACGCCCGCAGTTAAAGTATGGGCTATGCCAATTTTTTGGTACTTTGTGAGCGAAGGAGCCATCCTTTCAACGCCACGTTTGCATGCCAACTGAGTTAGGGAGGCGATCTAGTGCAGTGTAATCACAACGACACCAACCGCCCTAAATCGCGGCCGATATATCGTGCCCGATAGATTGGGTAGTGTAATAGGCGCCTTAAATCTAATCTAAACAAGACTAAACCAACTAAAAAAAAACAACTATAAATAGCAAGATAAGAGGAAAGATAATAGACCCCAAAATAGCATGAGCATTATTTAGAGTAGCCGAATATAGTTTTTAATTTCTTGATAACAAGCTGGCTGGGCTTGTTACCTTTCACACTTAGTTCATGATCAAATTTGAATGAATATAGCTTTCTAACTATGCTATTTCTAATATATTTCAGCTGTTCATGTCTTCTGAAATATTATTTGTACTATAATTATGTTTAGCGACATTTGTGTTTTTACAATAATTTGTATAACATTATTTTATTAATTTTTAAAGTTAATAAAATAATGTTATACAAATTATTGTAAAAACACAATACTGTTAAATCTGCAAAAGTAGCAGAATCTTGTGGTCAACATTGCAATAAACGTGCATTCAAAACTTACCAAGAAGTATAATACTGATTAAACAAAGGTACCATATGCAAAAGTTATGTATCTCATGGATCACAATTATGATAATTCCTGTTGCGCTTATTATTATTTTAACAGTATGCAAAGTATTTGTATTTTTGTGAGCAAAAAAGTTTTATCGGTTAGCTAAAATAACTAGCTGGGCGGCAACTTATGATCAATCAATATTATTTTCTTTAAACAGTCTAGCAATTTATATGATTCAGAAGAGCAGTTTTTTTTTTTTGTGTGTAATATATAAAGAAATCATAATTTAATCAAGTTTTGGTAAGAACTCAGACTAAATGCACACCTTACAAAGATTATTTATCTTAATAAATATAACTCAAAGTTGACTGACTGACATAGTGATCTATCAACGCACAGCTCAAATCACTGGACGGATCGGGCTGAAATTTGGCATACAGGTAAATGTTATGACGTAGGCATCCGCTAAAAAAGGATTTTGATCAATTCTACCCCCAAGGGGATAAAACTGGGGATGAAAGTTTGTATGAAACTTTGTCAATTTTAAACCGATTGGGCTGAGACTTTGCATGCATAAAGCTACTAAGACGTAGGCATCCTCTAAGAAAGGATTTTGATAAATTCCACCCGATACTAAACTATCTGTACACAATTCTACGGTTGACTGGTAGAGAATGCCTAATGGCATTAAGTCCGCCATTTGTACTGTGTGCAAAAAAGTTTAAATAAATAAATAAATTAACGTTATCACGCGGACGAAGTCGGGGGCAAAGTTTATTTATATGGCTCGATACGATGCAATTCGATATTGATGAGCGATATCGCACTTATCTCGCGCCCTGATAAAACATAAGAGGAATCGCAAATATTTAGTCATGAAATTGCACTGATTTTCGATTTGTGATTACGGAAGTTAAGCGACGTTCCCAAAGGCGGGCCATTGGATGGGTGATCAAATTTATTGACATTACTAACGGACACGATACGACAAGACAGGACAGGACACGAAAGGAAAGGATAGCGCAGGACAAGACATGACAGGAGGACTCGGGCAGCTCAGTGGTTAGAGCAGCCAACTCCATAACTTAATGGTTATTATCTTAATCATATTTTGTTAATTTGAAGTAAAAAGAATACACGTATCCGACCGACTTAATAGAATTTTGTCTATTGGCATGCGTTACACGTTTGACTTTAAACCAAAATTACTATTTTACTTTGATCATGTTGAAAAGCATTTCATCACCGTAAATGTATAATAACTTTTTATGGTTGAGTTTAGTTACTGTATGATATGTTTTTAGAAACTTGGAGTATTAGTTTAACTTATCACAACGCGATGAATGTTAGGCGCCATTTACACAAGCGAAAGAATCACGACGATAATATAGACGTGCCACGTATTTATATATACTCTCTATAAACGCGTCATCACAAGTTTCTATATACTCTCTATGAACGCGTCTTCACAAGGCGATGTTATCGTGGCAATGTATGCGCGTAACATCGTCGTATCGTCATTGTATCATCGCCATTACAAGCGCAGCTTCTTAAACAACATCCGTAATAAAGAATAATTTTCTTTTCTGAGACACTACTCATTTTGCTGTCGTCTGACATCTAACTGAACTGTTTCAACAAATAAAAGAACAACGAAACAAGGAAATACAGCGATTCTGACGAGTCCTTGCGGACACGCTGCGATTCCGTCACATGTCGTGACGACACGTTGGCGGAATAATTAGCCGTTCATCGAGATGACCGGACGATAGAAGCGCGAACTCGTCGCGACTATCTCGCTTGTGGAGACGGCGCCTAAGGTTAGTTAGTTAGCTATGTTAACATTGTTAGGATTCTACTTAAAAGCTGTCAAATCCCATTATAAAAACATCCTTAACAAAAATTAGTTTCACCATTTACCTGTTTACATATCTGTAATTAAAATAGCGGCATTTATCTATAGCCTTCTTGATTTATGGATTTAATATTTTAAAAACGATATCCATTAAAAACAAATTGGTATTAACCAAAAACTTCAATTTTATATTAGTCTTTGGTATCAATATTTACCTGATAATCATATTGCTGTAAATTAAATATCAGCATTTATAACCTTATTGATTTCAATGAAAATACTTTGAAATGTTGATAACAATAATAAATCTCACTAGTGTTTGCGCGGTGTTTCCGTCTGAGGTCTATTTATCGTCGAATCAGCGGCGGCGTTATCAGCGTAGTGTACATAGTGGAAACAAAGTTACATTTATATCAAAATTCTGCTTAATAACTTAATAAGTAAAGATTTTTTAGAAATACCTAAGACGATTCACAAATTAATACCGATTAAAATCAAAGTATGATATCATTATTGCCAATTATTATCACTCTTATTCTATAAAAAGGGACATCAGATTAAACGAAATTATTTTCTAAAAAGAATGAAAATAAAAGAAGATGATACCTTTCGGCAAAGTAAAAAGTTTTCGTATAACGAGTTGCAATTCAATGTTAGAAAAACCAAGATATTTAACAGAGACGATACACTAGAAGAAGTGTAAAGCCTAAACTTTACAACAATTATTGAAGAAACATGTTGTTGAGTTGCTGTCAACGTGTTACTGGCAAAATGCCAGTAGTAGAGTTGATCACTGCATGTTGAAATGTTCTTGCTCGAAGAGCGGAATCATGTTGACCAACCGTTACTCAACTAATGTTTACAATGAATACGGGACTTCAGAGTTATGGTTGATGATGGCACATCGCTCGTATCTGGAGGATAGAACGTTGGGAAACTCCTTGGCAGCAAAACCTTGAGCCAGAAAGTCCAATTATGTGCTGATTCCAGCATTAAGCGAGAGTTGAGTATGTCAGAGAGAACGTAAAAGTAAAATAAATACAGTCGAGATGCGATTTTTAAGCACCATTTACACGAGTCTAGTAGCCAAGTCAATCCAGAAAGTCAGTCCAGTGAAATTGGAAATTATTATATTTTATTGGGCTGGCTTGATGATTGTCTCCATTTACACGAGGCCAATACTGGCGTGATTAACTATCTGCGGAGTAACGTTCGCAAACTGCATTTGTAATAAAGAGATAAGAAAGAGAGTTGACCTGAAAGATAGTGTTGGTATAAAAGTAAACAAGTTCCGTTGATTATGATATGAAGAACACTTTTCACGATCAAATTGATCTTGTGCTATTAAAAAATATTAAACGAGATCACATATATTGCTCAGATTTATACAATAAGAAGCTAAAGCCCTCATATTATGGGGTATCTAAAACAACGAAGGCACCACCAATTCCAGACCCGAGATAATATAGAAAGTATCAGAGTGGTGATTCTATTAAATCGCCACTAAGCCATAAAAGTCGCCACAAAGTCGAGTAGCAAAACACACATGTAAGGACAATGTATAAAAATCTTCTTTCACTTGCAGATTTTACTATGGCATTTTAGGAGCAATTAATTTTAGGAGTGTTTCTGTAGCTAGAGCTATCCTGGCTCCTGGCTCCTGGGGTCAAATGATAGACCAGGTGATTCATTCGCATGTATTTTCGTGGTAATATGCGAGTGATTGTCGTCGTCGTCAAGGTGATAGTCACAAATTTTATACATTTTAACATGTTTTGATTGGCGACGCTTCCGATATCGCTTCCATGAGTATTCCACATCATATTTGAGATATGGCTAAAAATATATCTTATCTCAAACACAAATACTGGATTTTATTAGGACAGTATATATATCCGCTAGCAGCTACGTCCGCTCGTATTACATGATGACATGGCAGTAGTTTTATCCTTCCTTAGACTAAATATATAATAGTTTTTGCGTAAAGGAATAACCACCATCCAAACCCACAAATTTTGCCTTTGTAATATTAGTAAGATAAAGAAAAAATATACTCAAATACCAGACTTAAATTACACATGCACATCATTACCAAAATCACAAAAACTGATACACAAATCTGCAAATATCAACAGGTCAATCGAATTTTAAAATTTTGATTTCAATCAGGTAAACTTCGTCAATTTATTATCTAAAGGGAAGATTATAAATTATCATAGATTTATATATGATACTAATAAGATTATAAACTGGCGATGCTTACAATTTTGCGGTGAGTCAAACATTTTTAGTCTGAATATTAACTTTCAGAAAATGGGTTTACAACAATAAATATCTAATAATAACAAGCAACTGCAAAATAAAACATCAAAAATATTAACTTCATTAATATTACAATTTAAAAGCTACCAACTCACCTTCGCGTAAGGTTCAAATCTTGTTCTATGGGGGGATTGTCGATCAGAAGCGCGTAGTAGACCATGCAAGATACCAATAATATGATTATTATGATCTGGTTTCTCCTTGACCGGTACCATCTTTTCATGGTGAGCGTCATCTGTTGTAAAGAAAAAATCATCATGAGCACAAGTTTTAAAGCAAGTCATGATTTAGATTTCGAGAAGCCGGCGAGGCCGAGATATCAGGAGCTGGGTGAGGGGCCATCGTTTTTATATCCCAGGCAATTCCTCCAAATTTGAAGGTGCATTAGAGGGGGTTTTTCACTTCTCTTCGGACAGGTAAAGATTTGCTTTTTAATGTTATCGTATGATATCGGATAGTGATATCAGAAATTTTAAAAACCTGCAAACATGATTGATGAAGAGGTTAGGAATATCAAGGAAAAGAAAAACTTAAAGATCTTGTTTTGTGTACGCTCTATTATCCTAACCCACAAGACATCAGCAGGCTAATTCTCCTAATGTTTACGTAATCTCAAAAGAATCTCAACTACTTGCATTTGCTATTGTAATACCTGCCTGAAGTCCAATATTATTATATATCTGTCACCATTGATGTGTGATGAAAACAGTGCTCTAGTATGATATGGCAAATTACAAGTCGTTATTTTATTAATGTTAAACATTATCAAAATAGGCCTGGTGGCGTGATGATATCAAATAAATAGAAGAATTCTAAGAAAAGTCCGCTGTCTGACGACGCTACTCATTATATTCAAACAAGAATATGATTTTCCTTCGGATGGATGCATCGCAATGTAATTACCTGGAAATTTAAATAGGCGCTGTATCCAATGGTCTTAGATTTAATGGATATATTAAAATATTGCATTTAAATCCTCTCTAGTTTTCAGGATAAACAAAAACGAGTCATTTACAAAATTTGTAAAGATAACGTTTCAGTATAACAACTTATTTAAACCTTTATTGTTAGTTACTTGAAATAGGAGATGTTTCACCTCGTGTTTTGATTCATATTTATTTTAAATCAGTTCACTTCAAAAGAATGGCAAATAAAGCAGCCATATCTTTTCTAATAGTAAATTATCATCGTAGCCTATTATGAAAGCAAGAGTGAATGTATTTCTCATAAATTAAGAAGCTAAAATAACTTATACTCCATTAATTATAGCATTAGACAGAAGTCAAATAGGATTCTTTTTATGGTAAACTTTGTGACAAAATATTAACAATAATGTTACTCTTAAAACTGACGGCTTATTTGCTACAAATCCACTTAAATACCAGCTGCTATACATAACAGTTGTCGTTTAAGCCATCTGTTAAACAAAATTATGAGTATTTGACTAACTTAAAAGATTTAATAACTCTTAAAATAAAAAGTGTTCATCTTAAAGAACCTAGAGAAGCAGGGTTGGATAGTCTCGGCACGATTATCATGTCACTATAACTCTACCAAATTTAAAACGTTGCCTAATCCCTTCAAACGTTTCGGTAGTACAGCTTTTTAATTTTGTCAGATTATGATGTATTCCTAATAGTCAAAATACGTAATTTCGGATTCTCATTAATTCTTGTTGTTTTATCGTATTCCGTGATTGAGTTGTTATTGTATTATTTTTGTTCTCTTATAGTTCTGTTTTAGTTTTATCTTTTTGTAGTTAAGTTTTGCTAAATATGGACGATTCCGGTGCAGGTCCGAATGGCCTATAACAATTACCTCTTACATTTCAGGAAGTTTTTCCAAGATCTTAATCAAAAATCTAATAATATCTGAATAAATGTTATAAAAGTAATAATAAAAATTTCATTTTGTTTACCTTTCTTTCCTGGGCATAAATATATCTAAATTCTATTCTAATTATACATTTACAATTAGAATTTTATCAAAACAACAGATACATAGTTATAGTTACATATTGGCTTGGGAGTAAAAGATAAATTGCGCAACTCTTTCAAACATTACTTAACGATCAAAGTTTCAACAAAACTATTATATTTTAAAAATTTATCTTGAAAATAAAATGTTCTGCACTGCTGCTTCTGTGACCCTCTTTTTTCTAATGTTATAATGAATGGAGTATAGTGCACGAAAAGATTAAGTAACGATATACCTTTCATTAGCCGCGGCCCTACCGCGTAACTGAAGCCCTGAGTCATCTGTCAAGCTGACAGATCCTTAGCGCAGTTAATCTGACTAAGCTACGAGTCCAACGGAAATCTAAACAGTTAACACCTCTTTTTGTCTTCAGAGACAAGTAGAGAGAAATAAAACCTCCTAAATTCAAGTGAAAGAAAATGAAAATACGAATACAATTCTTTGTCACACACATACAATTTATGAACAACTCAATATAGCCTGCCGATAACCATTTGACATGCTTAATTGAGTTTAGCATACTCAATTAGCATAAAATAGTTTGCTATAACTGAACATTCAACTACTTATCAAAAAGTATAAATTAATAACTCAAGCTGGTGTTTCATCGGTAGTTCTACATTATTTCAGACTCCGTGTTTTAAAAGCAAAAATTTGCTGTAAAATATTCATAACGCTTCACCCTGATTCGGTAGCTATTTGAATAGATAATGTTGTTATTTATGTAACCGTCAAATATGGTAGAGCAGCAACCCTATCTGATTATAAAGGCTCTATAGTGTTGGTAGAGGGGTGATATACGCTCAGAGATAAAAAAGTAGCTAGAACTCTAACTAAAAATCTTATACGTCGCGACGCATGACGACCTCTCGTCGGTCGGGAAACTTCAGAACTGACGAACATATGATATTTAACATCAGACACTAGATGGAAAATCCATCGCGGACTAACGCGTACTTCCATGCGACTCTCGAGTATCTTAATCAGATTTGCACCCAATCGACCCTTACAAACAGATCGATCGTGATCACAGAAATAAAATTAAATATATAAAGATCGAGATAGAATATCCTGAATTTTCTTTATAGTAAGTACATCTTTGACAATAGCACATTATAATAAAAATGTTTATTAACAGCTAATTGAATTACATTAAACATAATATGTACACTACCAAGTTAAAAAAAAGCTGAATTTATCACTTTATCTAACTTGTAATATAATATCTAACAGGATTTAATAAAGTAGTAATAGGTAATTAAACAAAATATAAAAGAAAACACCATACATTTGAAATTGATGAAAATACTGATATTGTAAAATAGACGATGTATACTTACAATTAATTACACAAACAGCCAATTGCACAAACGATTATATTTTATTTGTTTAACGCGACATTAATTTGACATTCATTACACTTCAAAGGCGTCATTAAACCTTAATGGAAGTTTGTGCAATTGACCGAAAGATAATTTGGACCACAACAATTCAACTTATTGTTTTTAGTACCCAAATCTGAACTTTTATGGTTCATTCTTTTTCGTTATGTATTTTTTCTAGGTAAATTGATTAATTTATTGCATTATCTACACAGTTTAGTTATTATTCATAATATCTTATTATAACGATCTATAATTAATCACATTGGCTTTAACATATAAAATACAGTTTATAAACTATGTCGAAGTAGTAACAGACCTTGAACTTAAGCATCTCCCGTTTCCAGATTCTAATATTATATCTCCATATTCTTTCCATCGATAATAATGATTGCTGTGATTTTCTTTTACCATAAGTACACATATTATCAGGTTTGTATCCTTTTATCCTATAAGGATGGAACTCTTAGAATCAACCGATACATAGTCACATGTAGTGCACATAATGTCAGGAGTTAATTTTCCTGATTTTTTGAGCTAATATTATGTTTAGTATTATTAATTTAATAATTTATTCATAAGATTTCAATACAACGTTTACATCGGTTATTCCTTTTTGACAGTAATACAAAAAGCCGTCAATGTGGCAGATTATATTTTAAAGCAGCCAGTATGCGACCTCCAATACGCACCCTTAATCTGACACATTTAATGCACTCTTAAATATAACAAGATTCATAATACTTATGTTCGAATTTATCAAAACAAAGTTTACTCGATCAAAAAATAGAACAACGAAACAAACAAAAATTAACAAATAAAGATTAACCATTACATAAGAAAATAAATAACTTAAGGTACATTCTCAAAACTTAAATTAATAACTAACAACATAAAGTACCCTTTTAAAACTTAAATTTTCTCATTCATTCACAATCGCCCTCTTAATGGGTAATCTCGATAATGCTAATTTTATCTTTGGGCCAGGTAGAGATTTTGTTAACATATCTGCTACCATTTCTTGCGAAGGTAAATATCGCACCTCAACCGCACCATTCGATATGGCTTCACGAACAAAGTGGAACTTGATGTCGATATGTTTCGTTCTATTATGGTTCATCTTATTTTTCGCAATATGATGTGAAGATTGATTGTCATTATAAATGACTACTGGTTTATCGCTATTACTGTTTGTTATACTTTTTAACAAACTATTTAAATAAATAGCTTCTTTTGACCCTTGACTCAAACCTACATATTCAGCCTCCGTTGAGGACAATGCTACACATCTTTGCTTACGACTCTCCCACATGATTAAATTCTCTCCTAACTTAAAGAGTAGCCCTGTGAAAGATTTTTTATCATAAGACCCACCCCAATCCGCGTCTACGTAGCCTATTAGATCTAACTTTCCGGTTTTTTGAAAAGTAAGCGCAAAATCAGATGTCCCTTTTAAATATCTAAGCACCCGTTTAGCACACTTAAAATGAGTTTCATCATAACACGAATTAAACTGTGATAAAACGCTAACAGCATGTGCAATATCTGGTCTACTATTTTGTGCTAAATAGTTCAGACATCCTATCAGATTTTGATATGGCAACCTACAACTGGGATCTGAAGCTTTATCTAACTTGATACCAGCTTCCATGGGAGTGTTGACTGGTTTGCAGTCTGTCATTTCAAATTGTTTTAAAACATTATTGACATATTGTTCCTGATCTAGATAAATTATATTGCTATCTCTTCTAAGTCTCATACCTAATACATGTCTAGCACGACCTAGATCTTTGACTTTGAACTTTTTCAATAAACCATTTTTCAATTTACATTTCTCATTTTCATGGTTTTTACCATAAAATACAAAAATATCATC